AATGCCTGCATATCAGCGGCTCTCCCTCTATGCGTGTGGCTGCCTCGGCGTGTGTCTGTGTGTGTGTTCTCTATCAATGCCTGCATATCAGCGGCTCTCCCTCTATGCGTGTGGCTGCCTCGGCGTGTGTCTGTGTGTGTGTTCTCTATCAATGCCTGCATATCAGCGGCTCTCCCTCTATGCGTGTGGCTGCCTCGGCGTGCGTATGCGCCTATGAATGCATGTGAAGAGGGGTTTTTTGCTTCTTTGCGCTGTATCGTGTTCCGCGGGCAAAGTACCCCCTACTGCTGCCGCCGCTTCTCCTGCTCGCTCACCGAACTGCGCACGCGACACCCCTTTTATCAAATGCTGCTCTTCTGTCAGGCGCCTTGTGGGGTGTGTTTTCTGCGCAGCTGCTTCCAGTTGTAACTTTCCGTGGAGATGAGACAGCCCGTCGCGCTTCAGTTCATGTGGTTCTGAACACAGAGTTCTCGGGATCTCCCATGAGGCGCAGTACAGGGACTGGTCCAGAGGGACGGCACGAGCATCGGCGAGAAGGCGTTCAAGGGCACCTCCGGCAGTCTCCTGGCAGGAGCAGCTGCTGCGACGAGGTGGCGTGGAGGGGGGAGGAAGACAGTCCTCAGGAAGGCGCACTTGCCGCTTCTTCTGCGGCAGCAAACACGTGGAATCAACCCCCCCTGTGCTACCCCGCCCCCCGCCCCTCTCACAGAGCAGCAGCGGCTGCCAAGGAGGAAGAGGCCTCCCCATCTTCTGGAGAGACTGCTCGGAGCTCCACCCTCTTCGAATTCAAGAAGGCGACGGGCGTTCCAACGAAAACGGTGATTTCCACAGTTTACGCATGCAGCTGGTCAGACCCCCCCACCGTCAGGGCCTGTCCTATACAAAAATACCTTGCACATACGCAGCACAGGTGCGTCTTGCCAGCGTCACTGGCTGTCCAAACCCCTTCTGAGCATCAGCGGAAAGATGATTCACCTCGCCAGCCACCTCCAGTCTTACTTGGAACCCAAGTCTCCAGGCTCTCCCCCCTTTCCCCCCTTCTCCCTCTTCTCCCCGAACTGCGCAGTGCCCCTGCAACCTTTGCTTCCTCGCCTCAGAACCTCCTTCCGATTGCGTGTCTGGCTTGCCCCCTTGCGTTTTTCTCCGCTTTACAGAGATCTCGGAGCACTTTGCTTGGGACCAGCTGCCAGCGCAGCCGAAGCCGAAGAGGAACGTTGGGTGCGGCGTCTCTCGGGATGCAGCAGCATTCACCCTGACAGGGGGCAATGCGCAACTCAAAAGTGCGTTGTGAATCACAAGCACAACAAAAATGAGGGGAGGAGGAATGCTGCTCCAGGTGGACCCCGGTATCTCGCGATGAGCGACTGTCTCGGAGAGTACCCCGAAATCCTCGTGCAGCTCCTCAGGGGACCACTTGCGCGACTGCACCCCGAGGTCGACCTGCTAAGGCTTCAAAGGGATGCTAAACCACTCTCCATTCCAGACGAACCAGGTATAGCCTTTGCTCAAAGTGCCCGCGCAAATAAATACACCCCGTCCGCCTACACTCTCTTCGCGCTCTCCCCACTCTTGCTCTGTCTACAGCTCTCTGTCTCTCTCTGTGCCTCTGTCTAAATTTGTGTCGCTGTCTACATTTGTGTCGCTGTCTACATTTGTGCCTCCGTCTACATCTGTGTCGCTGTCTACATTTGTGTCTCTGTCTAAATTTGTGTCGTTGTCTACATCTGTGTCGTTGTCTACATTTGTGTCGCTGTCTACATTTGTGCCTCCGTCTACATTTGTGCCTCTGTCTACATTTGTGTCGCTGTCTAAATTTGTGTCGCTGTCTACATTTGTGTCGCTGTCTACATTTGTGCCTCTGTCTACATTTGTGTCTCTGTCTACATCTGTGTCTCTATCTGTCTATCTGTCTCTCTCTATCTATGTATCTCTCTTTCGGCCTCTCTTTTCAATGCATTCGCTTTTGTACTGTTGCCTCTTTGCCTCTTCGCTCGCTTCCGTTGTGTGTGCAGTGCGACAGGACCTGTGCCTGTGGATAGGAGCATTCAGCATCCCTCGTGATGACAAGCGCTACAGAGGGGGGGAGGACGCGTGGTTTTTTGACGCACAGCGGAACGCCTTTGGAGTTGCGGATGGCGTCTCTGAATGGGAAGATCTCGCTGGAATAAACCCCCAGGAGTATGCGCAAGACTTGATGAAGGGCACGCATGAAACCATCAGCCGCATGCAGGCACAGCACCAACGCGGCCGACAGGCGACTGCCTGCTGCACGGGCAGTCACACGGAAGCAGCGGCTGCAGCTGCAGCAGCAGCACCAATTCACGAGAAGAGGAGCCCTGGTGCTCCAGCAGAAAGTCTGACGGAGACATCGAAAAATCCCCCTTCAAGCCCAGCAGACACAGCGAAGGAGGCTCTGACGACGGCTTACCACAAGGCGCGCAACTTCGGAAGCAGCACGGCGATTGTTGGCGTTTTAGACGGCGATAATGGAATTTTCGGTGATGCACATATATATATATATACTCTCTCTCTCTTGTGTTCGCTATAACCCTTGGCTTTTCTGCCACGTGCCTTGCGTGCTGAGGATTTCAGTCTGCCCCCAAGAAAGCGCTTCAAATTGCACATATATATGTATATATACTCTCTCTCTCTCTTGTGTTCGCTGTAAGCCTTGGCTGTTCTGCCACGTGCCTTGCGTGCTGAGAATTTCAGTCTGCCCCCAAAAAGCGCTTCGAATTGCTGCTTCTCCAAGAAGCCTGCCTGTCTGCTCGCCTTTCAGAGCGTCTGGCGCTCGCGTCTGCGCACGCTTTGTGCACTGCAGGTCTAGCAAACTTGGGTGACAGCAGCTGCTTGATCCTGCGACGTCCCCGAGTGCGGGGAGCCTTAGGGCAGTTGAGCCTTGTCAAGAAGGTGAAGGAAATGCAGCATGGATTCAACGTGCCGTATCAGTTTGCTCATCTGCCTGCGCCGGAAGAGTGGGAAGGACTGCTTAAGAGGGTAAAAAGGCACGAATGGGGACAGCCTTCCTTCCTTCCCCTCCTATTGTGTCTCGTCTCGGCTTTCTCTTCTCGTCTTTTCTCGTCTCGCTTGCGTTTGTCCATAGCGGCCTGCTGCTTCTGCCGCTTCCCTCCCGACGGATGCCTCTCAATGCTGCGCTCCGTCTGTGGCGTTGAGGCGTGCTTCGCACCTGCTGCAGGGTCTGACACGTCTGGTCGGAATAGCCAAGCAGGAGCACGTCCAGGGAGACGCGAGTCGTTTGGGTGATGAACCCTCCGCTATTCAGGCAGCCAACGTTCCCGTGCAAGATGGGGACCTCATTCTCCTCGGCACTGATGGCCTCTTCGACAACATTTTTGACTTTGAGGTTCTTGCGCTCACGGGTAGGCTGCGGCTGTCGCTCTAAGACTTTTGAAAGGGGGAGGGGCAGGAGGGGAGCCAGGCCGAGGTTGCTGGTGGCTTGGGTGTTCACGGGCGTTCAAGCGTTGTATGCGGGAAGAGCTCGGGGGTCGTACACCAACCCCACTGCAGAGGCTTGCACTCTCTCCTCTGCCCCTCCCCACACGCTTCAGCATCTCGGTGTTGGAGACCCCTTTTCCGCTTTGGCCATAGCGGCTTCGTCCTCCTTTGTCTTGGCGTGTTGCATCCATCTTCATCTCTGCAGCCTGCCGCTGTTGAGACGCCTGTGCCTCCGCTCCTACTGCCACTGCGGATCTCCCTTTTGCGGATTACGGGGCCCTGCTCTGTGGCAGCTTCCCTGTCTGTCTCTGTCTGTCTGTTTCTCTCTCTGTCTCTGTCTGTCTGTCTGTGTCTCCCTCTGTCTCTATCCCGCTGTCTGTGTCTCTCTCTGTCTCTATCTCTCTGTCTGTTTCTCTCTCTGTCTCCATCTCTCTGTCAGTGTCTCCCTCTGTCTCTATCTCTCTGTCTGTGTCTCCCTCTGTCTCTATCTCTCTGTCTGTGTCTCCCTCTGTCTCTATCTCTCTGTCTGTCTCTCTCTCTGTCTCTCTCTCTCCTTTGCTTTCTCGCTGCATGCTCGTGCGTTGGAGACGTCAATTTTCAGTTTCAAAGTGTCCATCGCGTCTCTGGAGGGCGGTTTTTTTTCTTTTTCCCCCCTTCCTTACTTCTTTCCGTCAGCAGCTTCTGCCTCTGCCCAGTTCGAGCTTGAAAGCAAGCCTCGAGTGCTTCCTGCCTTCCTTGCGCGCATGCATGCATGTGTGTCGCCTTTTACTGGGATCGCAGGTCTCTCAGTCTCACCCCACGAGGCACAAACGCTGCTCGGAGACGCTTCTCTTGCCACTCCCCCCGAAGACATTGCGCGGGCACTCGCCTTGGCAGCCTATTGGCGGTCCCTTGACAAAGACGCTCAAACGCCTTTTTCCAAGGAGGCTAGACGCTGCTGCAACAAGCAAACCCTGTCCGTAGAGACTTCCGAGGGGTCCCCAGAGGCTTCTTCCGCGCACGCCATGTTTCTTGCTGGCCTCTTGAGCGGCGGCAAAGAGGACGACATCACAGTTGCTGCTGCATGGGTGTGTCGCAAGGACAGCTGTATATACACCTCGGACGGGCAGGCAGACAGCGCTGCAGCATCGACCCACACTGGAGAGGATCGCCAACAACCCCAAGTAGGCGGCTCTCCGCAAAAGCAAGAGCGGCAGCAGCAGGGCGAGGCACTGCCGCCACTGAGCAGTCCACACCCCACTCCAGAACCTCACTTTCGAGAAAGAGGGCTTCACTCCCAAAACGGCATAGGAAGCAGCGGCTGCAGGAGCAGGTGAGAGCGGCGTCAAACACTGGACCTCTCTGTAACGTCATTGCTGCCTGATCGACGACCCCTCCGCCTCTTGGGAGCTTCTTCCCGCGAAGGCCTCTGCAAATTGTTCACAGGCAGCAGCCGCCGCTGCATGCTTCTCCCAGCCTCACCTGGGTTCGCTCAACTTCTAGCCTGCTTGCTGTGTGCTGCTACAGGGGGAAAAGCCTCGCAGAGCAGCCTTCTCCATTAGGGCGGAGGCTGCAGCCTTAAGACGCACTCCGCTTCCTTTCATGGGGGGATGCGAACCCTCCTACGGCCAAAGCGCCTGTTCTTCATCTTCTTCAGCTTTGTCGCCTCCCCCTCAGAATATGTGGACACTCACACATTGGCAGCAAGGCGTTGATGCTCTCGAGATTGATTGTACTGCTGCATCAGGACGGCCGTCTCTCAGGGTGACACGCCTCGGGGGGAAATTGCAGCCAGCAACACATTTGGTGTTCTTCGCACAACCCTTGTGGAATCTTGTCGGACTCCCCCACGCAGTGCGGTTACTGTGCTAGTGTTGCGTGCCTATACCAAGGGTGCCTTTCCGCTACTGCCTGCCTGCCACCCAAGTTCAGGGAGATGCAGGGCAAACAAGCACACAGTTAGTCACACACTTTACAGAACTTTCATTGGGCTGGGGGAGGGCCAGTACACCCACATTTTCCGCCTTATCCCGCATGCTTTTGCACCTAATCACTTGTACCGTGCGTCATGCATACACCTACACACACATCCATACACCTACACCTACACACACATACATACACCTACACCTACACACACATACATACACCTACACCTACACACACATACATACACCTACACCTACACACACATACATACACCTACACCTTCACCTACACCTACACCTACACACCTTCACACATACAAAACATACACACACACAGAAAGAGAGAGCTCGCGTGCGGTGTCTTCACACGTGTGCCTCACCAGGCCCCCACAAAGCTTCACTCAGAGGGTATGTATAAACCCACCCGTCTCTATCTTTGCAATTCAGTTGCAGCGTCAGAACCCCCCACGAAGTGTGTCTGTCGCGGTCAGCCTCCAGGTAAATGGCTTTCAAAAAAAACTGTTGGTTTACTTCCTCTTCCGCGTGAGCCGACCAGGTGGTGGTGGAAAGGTCTTAAGCTGGCCGTGCCTCTGGGATACTGGTTTGTTTACTCCGCAAAGCGATTACTGCGCTTCTGGAACTAGGACGCTAGGGCCATGTCACTAGTGAGACTTGGAGAAATCGGGGAGAGGAACTCGGGGAAATTAAGTGACGCCTTGTTGTGTTGGAGTTGCACGTAGATCGTATAGGCGCTCTCCTCACTGCACTACAACAATCGGATACGTAAACTTACGCAGCCACGAGGGGTTGTGGCCCTGCCACTATGAATTAGTAAGGGTGGGGGAGACTGGTGGCGGCAGGCGACGTAAGGAGGATACGTGTGTGGCGGTGAGCGTGCCATCCTGCTCAGGCCGCTGAGCAGTGCCTCTCTTCCTGATATCTGGTGCAGGAGAGCGATGTCGACAGGTGTCTACAGCGTACTGGCTCTCGCGGGGGAAAGTGTCACTGCAGCGATAAGCAGTGGAGGGGGAAATGACGGAGAACTAGCTAGTATTCCTTGGACGCTCAGCGTACAGGGAGGGAAAAGGGAGCGGCGGTGGAGGGGAGCCGGGGAAGAAAGGGGCGAGAGACGCATAGGAAAGGGTGGGACCTGGTGTCACATAAAGTAGAGGAGGAGGTCACTGCAGGTGAGGCCTTCTTGCCAACTAATAAACACGGTCCAGCTAGGCAGAAGAACGATTTCTCCGCAGGCACTGAAGATTGCAACACCCCACAAAAGCGCCTCATTGGGGCCGTGCAGCAGCAGCACTACAGAGGGCCTCTCTCTACCTTGATGCGGGGGAGGATTTTAAAGGTGAAAACCTCTGAAGAAAGGGGCGTTTCGCCAAAAAAAACGACGAGGGCTTCCGCCGTCTTCCAGAAGGAACGTCGTTCCTTCCCCGTCTAGCGCCAAGTCCCCAAGCATTGCCGCTGGGAACTGCCGCTTTCGCGGTGCCTGCCTGCATGCACATGCATTATGTGTCACTCGGCTTCGGCGCCTCGCGGTAAGTCCACGTTCGTTTGGGCTGCATGCCGAAGCGCCGTGCAGACGAGCTTTTCATACTCCTGCAGCACGAAGGGGGCGTCCTCCACCCCAAGTGTTTCCTCGCTCGGTGTGCCAAAGCGCCTAGGATACACAGTCTGGGAGCCTTGTACGGCGAGTCTGTCTGCTAGTTCATTTCCGATCACACCAGCGTGAGCTCGCACAGGCACAAAGTGGACTGCCCCTCGCCAGCAAGCTCCCCGGGGGAAATGCTCTTCTCTTTTTCCTATGAGAAGCCGCACTGCTTGAACTAAGTCCGCATTCTTTACATCTGCCCCCGAAGCACACTTCCAGTTGTTGTGCTGCCAGCGGTCCCCCCAGGGCCCCACACACTTCACGGCATAGCTGCTATCCGAATAAACTACCAGTTTCTGCTCAAGAGCGTTGCATGCACCCGTGTGCTCCCTCGCCTGCAAGTCATCATAATATTGAAAGGCCAGAAGAGCTGTAAGGAGGGAAGCGAGTTCTGCCCTCTGGTTTGTCTGGGGTCCGTGAATCAGAGGAAGCGCTAAACTCCTCTTGAAATCGTCTCCAAACGAGATCCCAATTCCAGCAAGGGCGCCTGGGCGGCCGTTGTGCGGGCAGGCGCCATCCGCATAGACGGAAACTATCTCGTGTGTCTTTCGAGGCCTCTTGGAGGCGTCGTATCCACGCAATATGCGGTGCTCGATAGCCCCCCCTTCGCCGTCATCGAGATGAGTGGCAAGACGGGGGGGGGGTGCAGGGCGTCGTCCGGCTTGAGAATTCGTGAAAGGCTTCTCGCCTTTGAAGGCTGCTGCTGCCTTCGACGGTGCCTCTACATCGGGGGGGGGGATGCGTCCAGTCGCTTTTGAGATTAGGACGGCCCTGCGAGGATGAGGGTTGGCTGTTTTGTTGTTGTTGCTGCTGCTGCCAGGACTGCCCCTCGCGTTGACGCCGCCACTTCCGTTGCTGGCGGGGGTTGCAGCTGCTCGCACGCCGTCGAGAAATGTTTCTTCCGCTCTGCTGCCTATGCACCATCCACAGGCCGAATGCCAGGCTACAGGGGCACAAGGATTTGTGGGGGGAGAAGGAGACTTCAGTGGCCTTAAGAGCGCACGTGACAGCCTGCTCTGCACACTGAGCCCTAGTATCAAGCCCACCGAGATATGATGCGGCGGAAGCTGCGAATTCTCAGAAGAAAGGAAGAGACAGGGAATTGCTGCTGCCAAGATCCGCAGCACCAGCGTGCCCCAGAGGGCCCCCAGCCTCATGGAAGCGCCTCTCCTCTGGCCGCAGGCATTCGTTTGTGGATTCAGAGTTCTTCTAGACGCACATAGGCTGCATAAAGGGGGCTAATGAGGGAAGAAAAGCAGGAGTGGGTGTAAGGGAGCCCCCATATACACACGGCGTTGGCGCACGCCCTTGTCCTGTACCCAGTAGTACCCCGAGGAAGGCAAGAAAAAGGGCTTCCTCTTGGGAAGCAAATCTGCGCAGAGGGGGAGACCAGTTGTCTTAAGGAGGCAATAGACTAAGCTCTTGCATTTACCCGCGGCTGGATGGTCGGTGCGGCGTAGGGAGTGCGCTTAGTTGCACAGAGGCAGGTGAGGAAGAAGCGGTGGTGTCCTTAGCAGGAGGTTTCCTAGAGTGCAGTCTATGTATGTGGGGGCCTATTCCGTATCACCCTTAGCTTCTTTGGCGTGTTTATTAGATGAGTTTCCCTCCTTACTTGTGCTGGACTGTCCGTACTGCTCTAACAAGCAGAAATTCCCCGCTGAAACGGCAGATCTCTCTCTGGTGCCCGAGGGACTGCGGGAGCTCGAGAAGGCTGCGACGGAGCGAACTTCTCCGTGGAAATCAGCGATTTGTGCACGCGAGAACGCATTTTTCGCGCCCCTGCCTCAAGATGAGTGCTGAAGCCCAACCTCCGGCCAGCAGTAGCGATGCCGATACACTGCAGCCGATGCTTACAGCCATGGCGACTTCAGAACCCTGCGCGCCGACGGGAACATCCTTTAGCGGCTCGAATGACGCTTCTTCCTCAAAGGCCCCTGCAATTCCGAAGAATTCTCCGAGGAGTCTTCGGTTGCTCATCGTTGCAGGTCCAAGCGGCGTTGGGAAGGGAACCCTCGTGCGTAGACTCCGCGCCCAGTGGCCGTCGGTGAGGCAGCCCTTTACTGTCGGTCTGCTTGATATGCAACGTGTCACCCTGTCCGCGAGCACAGAGCGTGTGCTCCTCTGCACCCTAAGAAATGCCGCATCCCGTCTTGCTCTGTATGCGCCTTCCGTCGTGGCGGGGGGCGGGGGCCCCTCCATGGACACCAAGCGGGGGCCCTGCCAGGGATAGATACAATGCGCTGTGCATGCAGACGTACGAGTGACTTTTTCCTTCAGGCCTTTGGCTTTTCCGTGAGCCACACAACTCGGCAGCCTCGTCCAGGCGAACAACATGGCCGCGAATATTATTTCGTCTCGCGGGAGGTGATTGAGGATCTCCGGGATAGAGGAGCTTTGTTGGAGCATGCAGTGTTCTCGGGAAACATGTACGCCACCTCTGTGGAGGAGGTTCGACGCATTTCGTAAGCTCCAAAAGACCCGCACCCGAAGGCTAAGGGCTTATATATCGCTATATTTTGGGTGCCTTTTTCTCGGGGTATCTTCCGCTTTTGCATTGGTGCGACGTTTTGCGGGGACCTCTGCCTTTTGTGGTGCTTTTGCTGCTTTGCTGTTGATAATGATGGTGGCGTTGTCGGTAGAGCACCCGGTTGCTGCTGCTCTTCTCCTTGCGGACAGCCGAGCTGCTGTACGGTGCGCAAGCGCTGCTACAGTTACGGTGTGACACTGTGCATATGTCTATTTGAATGTGTGTATGGATGTGCTTACGTTAGTGCGCATGTGGTTGCATGTGCGTTTATGATACGATAGTATGCGCATGCATGCACGTATATCTACACACTTGTGTGCAGAGAGATGGGACAGATCTGTTTGCTCGAGATCGACCTCGTTGGGGTTGCAAAGGTGAGGGCTCATGGATTTCCCGGTGCCCGTTTCGTCTTCATTGAGCCGCCTTCACTTGAAGTACTCGAGACACGGCTGAAGGGGAGGAAGACGGAGACTCCAGAAGCTGTCCGTACTGCAACTTTTCCTACAACACACCATTTAAAAAGTAGCTCTATAAGTTGTATCCCAATGCTGTTTTTCTAAAGGGGAGAGGTTGCGCAGGGAGAGGCGCCGGAAGGAATTCCAAGTCCGCTGAGCAGCCTCTAAGCTTTAGGCCATGTATGTGCCTTCTTGTCGACTTGTGACCTTTACGATTTAACCTGCGTATCTGGGGTGGCAGCCGGCAGTAGACCAAGGGGCATTATCTCCCCAGGATGGTGGTAGTCCGTCTTCAAGCGTTCCATGTTGTGCCTCAACGCCGATGCTTTTTGCGGTGTGTTTTCGCAGTTGCAGAAGCGGCTCAATCATGCGCGAGAAGAATTGGAAGCATCGAAGAACCTGCCATGGGATCTGCGGCTTCTCAATAATTCCGTGGAGGTGGCTTGGACAGAACTGCGAGACGCCGTCAGTACGTGGTTCGGCCTCCCTGTGGAAACTGAGCAGTAGGGCCCTGCAAGCAAACTTTCGTCAGAGTTGTCATATCGGGTGTTCGGATTCCCACCGTGTTAGTGTTCTGCTGTTGAAGTACTGCATTTGAAGCACTTTGTGAGACGGAAACAGGTTCAGGTATATCATTTTTGCAGCAGCTGCTGCTGCAGAGCTAGCAGCAGCACGGTGAAAAGCACTGGCAGTGTCAAGGTGGAGGAGGCTCGTGTCCGGGGTTGTGATTAATTGGACTTGTGATTATAAAAGATCGCGTGCACCATGTATTTATCTATACTATGGTGGTGCCCAAGGGGAAAACGTTTTATGCCCCGGTGATTTGACGGGGGCGTTGTGAGCTGTTTACTCATCCCATGCAAGGTTTGCATGGAGGCATATATTCCAGTTGGTCAGGTAATGTGGCGTTCTGGCCTTGGGCCGAACGCGCATGTGCACTCAGAGAGGCTGCTGGGTACGGCAGGACGGAGCAGTGCGGGGAAACTTGAAAAGGCACAAAAGGAATGAGAAAAGCCGACTCAAAATAGGTGAAACAGACACACAGTCGCATGCAGCGAGAGAGAGAGGGAGTGCGACTTCTGCAGAGAACAAGAGGCGCAAGCATATACCGAAGAAAAGTCCTAGCTAGGAAAGTAAAGGCCGTATTGCGTAGGCATCTAGAGGGTGCTCAGTATGCAATGGGCATTAGACAGAAGCCTGCATAGGTCCTCCTGTATGACAGAGGCCACTCAAGGAGCTAGCGCTAGGGCAGTGCAGCAAGGCGAGCTGCAGTAGACACAGGCGAGAAGCACTGCAACGAGACGGGCCAAAACGCGCCAGCGCGGGAGCTACGATAGGTTTTATGACGGGCGGGGGAGCTACTGCCAACCTCGAATTTCTGCTTTTGTAAGTATTTTGGTACCACTCACGAGTCATTTCCTCGCTGGCGCAAGTTGCTGCACAGAACTGTTGGGCAGGGGCGACAGTACGTCCCCAAAAAGCCGCAACTGGACCCTGTTGCTAACACGCTTCTCCTCCGTTAGGATGCGCGCGGTCCCCTAGGCTTTCGTGTGGCGGGATGTCGTCTGAATGCCGTCTTTCTGTAGTCAGTCCTCCCCCTGTCTTCATGGCTGTGCGTACGCGTGCTATTACCTCCCAGGCATTCGCATTCCTGTAGGCCTTGATCGTTTTCAAAGTTCGTGAACCTCAACTGCCGACGTTTTATTGCGTCTAGGATTGCCCATTGCACCCGGATTGAACCGGTTAGGCAGATGATAGATAGGATGGGTAGAAATGCAGTGGACTCGCGCCAGTCAAGTTATCTGTCCTAGTTCTTATCCCTGGTTATGATTTTTGTTGGAGCTAAATTGAGGAGAGGGTGACACGATACGCAATATTGCATCGCGCCGTATTTATTTATGTTCAATCACAGATCTAAAGCAATAGTGCCCAACAAAGAAGACGGTATAATCACTGAGTGCCTCAAAACTTCCAAAGTATTACGTATTTGGCTTGCAAAACTACGGGGTTCTTTTCGCTCATTCCATCCGACCGCCGCTACTGTAGGAGGCGAATTCACGTATGTAGTGCTGACAAACCAGGGAATATACCAACACTGAACTCGAAACTAAGCGCCTCTCAAAGGGGCCGCCTCCGCGGTGAAGGCGCAGAGAACGACAAGAACAAGCAGGCACTGGAAAAGCTTGCAAGGAGCTAGGCTGCAGTATAAAGCGGCAAGATGGCCAGGAGGGGCCAAACGGGTAGGGAGGACGACGAGGGCAGTGGGAGTAGTGCCACAAAAACGCGCAGCCAAGAATTACATGCGACCCATCGGAAGACGCAGAAAGGGGGGAAAAGATACGGAAACGACGGCGCAGGACTCTAGTCAGGTGCTGTACCGACTGTGCTGTGAGCTGCGCAAGACTTCCACTTTGCGAAAATCCCAAGGCTTCCTCCCCAATTCGTGCCGCTGCCTCCACTTCTCCCTATTGCATCAACCGTATGCATATAAGACTGTTGAAGACGGGTGTAGAGTTCACAAAAGTGCAAGCCCCCGCCTGTCCACTATTCAGCAGCTCCGCTTCATCTAGCGTATGGAGGTGTATGCTGCCTCTAAGGACACCTTAGGAAACAATGTTTTTTACGCGTGCTAGCAAGCAGGCGCCACTCTCCAGCAGACCTATTCAAGCGCGTTTATGAGCACTACTGTCGAATTCTCAGCACCCAGGGAGGGCTGGCTGCATTTGGCTTACATGACTGCAAAGCCATGCCACTGGTTCGGGAGAAGAAACAAGAGGCCTTGGAGGCCTTCGCTCCATCCCATAGAAGAGACACCCTGGTAGAAAAAAGCCCATCCGGACTGTCCACCGATGTAGCACCTAGAGCCATTTTGGAAGCGTGAGAAGAAAGAAAATACCCCTTGCCCTCTCTGCGGCACATATCGGTCCCCCCAATACCCAGAGACCCCGCAGAGGGCCCTATCTCCCAGCAGGAGATAAGAGACCCCTACTGAATACTCTAAACAGCTCGACACACGCAAACAAACTCACACACGAGCGCCCCCACCCCGGACCAAAATATGAGTGTGGAGGAACCACCATTGTCTGGACTCGGCTCACAGATAGCATTATATACACATATGCACGTAGGTGGACGCATGCTCATACACATGCATGCTACGATGTACAAAGGCCTTTGCACACCCGAAGGCTTCTCTCCGCTGGTTCGCTGCACCTCTCGATGTGTGCCACGCATCTCGATCGTTGCATGGATCTACATCCACATCAGTGTACACCAATTCGCGCCTTGACGCAGTACATTTCAGCGAGAGCGCATACACATAGACACGCACGTACACATGTATAATCTTGAAGGGCGAATACATACACATACGCATCTAAAAAACATAAGAAGAGACCACCGGCCTATCGCTGCGATAGACAACGGCTGTCCGAGGTGTCTAGATGCATGTTCTAAAGGCCGCTTCTGCCCAAAAAGAGCAACCTCAAACGCACCACCACAGAGGTTCCTGAAACCTCATGGAGGGCAGGAGAGGCTCAGCTCTACGGCCTAGCAGCCCCCACAGAAAGCTCGCAGAAACCCCCCTTTGGCGGTCCGTTGAGACTGTGCAGTGTACACCCGACCATCATGTGGGGCCTCTATTCGATTTCATCCAGGCAATTCGTCGCCGTGGAACCTCCAGAACCCTAAAACTCGAGGCTCATGCCCTTCCAGAAGGACCCTCCCTCCTCCTCTCCCCATCCCCTCAAGCCCCAAAGTCTCCATTTTCAGGGCCCCTGCCTGCATGCAACCGCATCGCCGGCCGATGATCCTCACTGGAGGAGGCTACAGCTCCCGAGAGTCTCTCGAGAGCTCTCAGGGAGCGCCGAGGGAGGGAACACGGCTACTCTAAGGCAGAGGCAGAGTGGGGGCATGCAAGGGCGGCTGGCAGAGGCCAAGTAAAAGCAAGGGCCAAAGCCATCGACTGCCCTCCTTCTTCTCGCCCGGATTGACACCTAGACCTAGGAAAAAACCCTTTGGCTCTGCGCCGAAGCTGCCAGTGTTGCCTGCTCCTTCCACTGTTGCTTACACTCACACGATCTCCGTGGCAACAACGCATACAGGACAGCACTGAGCCTTGCTACACGAGCCACTTAAGGGTGCCTGAGGGCTCGCTAGACGGGCAGCAGGCAGCAGCGGATACATCTGCTGCTGCAAAAAACATCAAGGGATCCGCTCACGTCTCCCTATGTGGACACAGGGCAGCGAAAGGGTGCCTTGAACCCCACGAAAGCAAGAGAGGGGCCAGTCATCCCGCCGTCCAAAACTCTCCGTGGAGAAAGCAAAACAGACCCGACAGCCACTGCCACTGTATTGACAACTACTCCAGCTCCTATATAAAGCAATACAGCGTTGCGCGCCATGCCAGTGCAGACGCTTTCGGATGCTGGGGCCATAGCAGCCTCCTCCTCGCGTCCTATAAAAAAAAGGCACAAAATGTAAAATCGCGACATGAAGCGAGCGAGCCCAGTGATGCCCCCACCCCTCAGCATCCACAGAACCCTCCAAATGCGGAATCCGCCTTTTTGCACGAAGAGAGGAGGCTTACCCCCTAGATTAGTCCATTAGGAGACGTCGCTTCAGCAGGTCGAGAGGAGGCGGTCTGAGCTGCAGCGGCACACCCCACCCACCATCCGCATGGAGAACAACGCCAATATCGCCTTCCCAACAAGCTGGACCGCCAGCACCACGCAGCAGCAGCAGCGGCAAACAGCCAGCAGCACCGATTCGCGACAGCAGTCGACGCTTACTTTTGCGGGGTGCTTGGGTGCGAGGCGTCTTGGGTGCTGTGGCAGCACCCAGAGGGGGGAAGTCTGAGGCTTCCAAGGGCAGATCCGACTGCCTTGTACGCCACGTTGTGCCTCCACCAACAGCGGCACCAAAGGATACTGGTGCTGGGCTTCTTCCTGCCGCTCTTGGTGTTGCTTGTTCATCGTTACTAGGACTGCTGCTACTGCCGAACTCGGCAGCTGCAGCCGAGCTTCTGCCTGCGTCAAAGTAAGTCTGCTGCTGCTGCTGCTGCTGGTAGTGCTGCTGGTACTGCTGCTGCTGCTCATGGCCCTCACTTGCTGCCAAGGGGCCTCCTCGTACACTCCATGGCACCCCATGCCCTCTCCGTCGACCCCCCCCCCGGCTAACCCCTGAGCACAGACCGATACGACACACAGCAGATGTGCAGCTGCTGCACGATGGATCCTCTCCCTCCTTCTCCAAACCAGAGAGAGGCTACGACGCACACTGGCACCGGCGCTGCCAGCTGCCGCCGTGCTCGAAGCCCCCTCCCTCCAATCAGCGAAGTCGCGTGTGGTGGGGAGCCCGTCCACAGAAAAGCGGAGACGCATGCAACGAACCTGCAGACTGATTGCTTCCTCTTGGGGGCCCCCCCAGAGGAGGAGCAGCCCCTCTTCCAGGCATCCCCCCGCCCCCAAACCAGCGATTCCCGCTGCTCCGCCCTCGACTGCCGCCGTAGCCGCCTCGATTTCGCATGCCGTGTTGCTGCTGCTGCTGCGAAGCAGAAGCAGAAGACAGAAAGCCCTCAGACTGCTGCGGCGCCACGTAGTACTGCTGCTGGGGGGGCCGGGTGGCAACATAGGAAATAGGCACGAGCATGGGGGGGGGGCCAAAACCAGCGGGCATGGTGTAATACAGATGCTGTTGCTGCTGCTGGCGACCCCTTCGGAAGTTCTCCCCTTCGGCGGCTGCTGCTGCGCAGGGGCCTCCTGCCGCGGGGGGGGCCCCCCCAGCAGCTCCCCCCGCTCCACGGCCTCCTCGGTGGTAATTTGCATGCATGCCAGCCCGCCCCGCCCCCAAGGCAGCGGCGGAGGCAGGAGGCTGCGAACTCGGCATCCAGCAGCAGCCCATCATCTGCTGCTGCTGCATGCGGCTGTGGGGTCGAAATCCCCAGAAAACCGGAAAGGCCTCACTATCCAGAGGGTACGCTGGCACGGAATGCGGCTGCTGAGAAAGCCTGTTGTTGTAGCCTTCCGCCGCGCCTGAGGGGCCCCCGCCACTCCCCCCGCGCGATGCAGGGGGCCCTTGAAGGGCGGGGGCCCCCATCTGAGAGTACCCCCTCGGCGAGACGAACCCAGGGGCCCCCCGCTGCTGCCCCCTTCCGCCGCCGCCGCGCTGCGCCCTCCATGGTCGCCTCTGCTGCCGCTGGTGCGACGCGAAGGCGCCTGACGCGTCTGGCGAGCTCCCTGGGGGGGGGGGGGCCCCCCCCCCGGCAGCGGCATACATGGGGGGCTGGGGGCCCCCCATGGCGACTGCCATAGGCGGAGGGGGAAAGAAGCGGGGGGCAGCTGCTGCTGCTGCTGCTGTCGCGGCTGCGGCTGCCGTTGCCTGTGCAGACACTACACGGTGCAACGCGTGAGAAGCCTTTATGCCGACCTGGAGAGGCCGCCCCTAGAGGCACAAGGGAAAAAAAGAGACGCAGTCACACACACGCATGCAAATCAACGGCATGCGAGGCTGAACGCCTGCGTGTGTGCAGGCGCGTCTCCTCCAACACGCAACGACGCAAACAGCAGCCTGTGAAAAGGCCAATAGAAGAGGGGAAAACCAACCCCCTTCCCCCCACACAGAATGCGGCGGCGCGGAAGATATCGAGGCAGACGACCTCGCAGAATGCTGCACATCCGCCGTCCCCTTCTCCCCTGAGGAGGCGGCTTGGCTCCGCATGCCTCTCCCTCCCTCCCTGTCTGCCCTAACCCTTCCTTGTCTCCCTTTCATCTAGCTAAAATGCACCTTCCATCCCCCGAAACACCCCCAGACTGTGCATTCACCCTGTACCCCACGTACATTGAGTTCTTGAGTCCGAAGCCACAGAGCAACTTGCTGCGTGGTGTCAGCCTCCTTGAACGTGACAAACCAAGTATGATTGATGTCTTTCCTTACGCTACAACACTGCTCTTCCTCCTGATTCTGTGGCACCTGGTGCTGCCCCTCCCCCTCCTCTTCCGAACCCTGATCATGCGGCTGCGACTGTTGTTGCTGCTGCTCCTGCTGCTGCTCGTGTTGCTGCTGCTCCTGCTGCTGCTCGTGTTGCTGCTGCTCCTGCTGCTGCCCGTGTTGCTGCTGCTCCTGCTGCTGCTCGTGTTGCTGCTCCTGCTGCTGCTGAGAGAGCATGGGCGCCTTGTAGATGAGAGCGAGCACCTGCTCCTGAGTCGTCTCGGGTGGGAGGTCTCTAAGGAACAGCGTATTCCTGGCTTTTTCCATCAGCCGTGCAAGACACACGAACTCTTCGAGCGCATCCTCACAACTGCTGCTGCTGCTCGTGTTGTTGCTGCTGCTGCTGCTGTTCGGAGTCGCCGAGGTTGTTTCTGTATAAGGACTTACGTCTCCCGTGGAGCTGCTTACAGCTCCCGAATCAGCGGCTGCTCCTACCCCTCCTTCACCACCTCCCACACTGCGCCCGCTGTCATCGCTTCGACTACCAGCTTGCCGCTGCTGCCTCTGGATCTCGCCTTCCGTCTCTGCAGAGCCGCTGGGAAGTGCGCCAGAAGGCGCCTCGTCTAGCTGCTGCTGCTCCCGCCGCTGCTGCTGCCGCTGCTGCTGCTGTTGCTGTTGCTGCTGCTGCTGACGACGCACAAGATCAATATCCTGGATAAAGCTGATCGCCTCGACAAGAACCTCTCGGGAAGCGCCGCAGCAAATTACAGCGGGATGCCTCAGCAACACGGAGAGCGGCAGCAGCCATTCTCCCGGCTGTATGGTAGCAGCAAGAAAGGGGTCCGTGGAGAGAGACTCTTCGGAGAGTAAGGCACGCAAAAGACTTGCAACTGTAGGCGCAGTGGCGCTGCACTGCTTGGCGCCCCCCTGCCCGCCTGGCGCAGCTGCCGCCGCCGCCGCCGCTGCTGCTTCGTCTGCTGCTGCTGTGGCAGCAATCGTCACAGAGCGGCAGAAGTAATTTACACCCCAGACAGGCAAGGACTGCTCTCCCATTGCTGCCGCCGCTGCTGCGGCAGCAACTGCTGCTGCCGTCGCGACACCCCCCTGAGGCATAAACGGAGGGAAGGGAGGGGGAGGCGGGGGAGGGGGGCATGGGAGCCCTGTCCTCTCGGGAAAGCGCTGTGTTTTGTGTATTTCTTGAGGCTGCTCGTGCTGCTCTACAGGAAACTCTTGCTGTTGCTCGTCATGCTGCTCCTGCTCCCGCAAGTCTACGTGCGCAGGGGCTGCTGCTGCGGCAGCGGCAGCTGTGGAGCCGTTCATTGCAGGGTTTAAAGGGGAGAAACGGCCTTGGGAGCTCCTGGCGGTTAGGTGTATATACGCACAGACGAACAAAGCAGTCAAGAACGTCGTGAGCGAGAAACGCCTCTTTGGGGCCGCTATTTGCGGCTGCTGCTGCCTTCGCTGCGCGATAAGACGATGTAGGGGGAGGCTTCTTGGACGCTGTGGAAACGCGAGAGCGACGTTCGTTCGTGTGTGTGTGTGTGTGTGTGTGTGTCTGTGTGTCTGTGTCTGTGTTCAGCGCCAGTCACAGACGTCTTTGGCCGTGTAGAAAAAAACCTTTTTAAGGGGCTTTTCTTCGGTTCACTGTTCGAGTATCGGAGGAAACAATGTGAAGCGTCTCGCCCAAATCCTAGTCCGAATTTAAAGACGCGCCGAACACCTCGCAATGCGGAGACGTGACGGTTTCTGCAGAGGCCACTGGAAGAAAAGCTCTGAACAGTGGGCGCTTGGTCGAGGCACTGCACAGCCGCAAGAGAGGATGCAAATGCTGCGGCAAGGACTGTGGTCGTTTACAGGCGGCAAGGGGGTCGTGCTGCAGCTGCAGCTGCTGCTGGATAAGACACGCTACTGAAGCCGCCGCTGAAACCGCGAAGACGAGGCCATCCGTTCGACCTCGAGAACTGCAACTAAGGGAGATGCTATGCTGTTTGAGGGCAGGCACTGAGCCTCTGCCTGGACGGGCGCACTCCCAGTGCTCGGGTGTCACTGCCCCTACTAACCTTTCTGCTGCTGGAGAGGGGAGGAGGCTCCGAAAGTGGGGAAGATGTGATCTGCGCCGCAGTCCGACGAACGGTGCGACTCTGAGACGAGGTGGAAGCGGCACAGCCTTGCCGCTGCTGGTTGTCGTGATGCCACTTCTGATTGCAGAGGCTGCTGTTCGTCTCTCCACGCCGCTGCTGCGCAAAGCGCCGGTCTTTGAAACTTGCGAGCGTTCGCAGAGTGGCGAGAAGAACCAGCGATGCGGCAATCAGCGAGACCCCGCAGTTCGTCCAGCTCCTGCGGTGCCTGCCGCTGCCGCCGCGTCGGCTCGCTGCGGCAGGCACAGGCACCAAGGAGATCACTTGACCAAAAAAAGACAGTTACATAAGGCTGCAAAAGAAGAGATGTGACGGAGAGGCAGCGGAAGCAGCGGCAGCTGCCGGGGCGGGGCCACTGCAGCAGCAGAGGATGGCGCAGCAACAGCAGTAGCAGCAGGCAAACTGCACAAGAACGCGGTCTTGTAGAGACTTATACAGCTGTTTTGGTCATTTGCCGCTGCAGCATGAATCATTTATTAAAGACACGAAAGAGACCCCGCAGCATTCTAAAGGCTGCTGGTACGTCCAGGCCGCTGCTGTTTCTGCTGCTGCTGCGCCAGCAGCTGCCCGGGTCGGCATGATGGCATGGCAGCCGCCGCAGTGCAGCGGTAACAGCCACACTGGCCACTGCCATTGCAGCGCACATCTACCTCGTCCACGCGTTGTCTTCCCTCTATTTATCTCTATATATCAGTCCGCATTTAAACGTGCTGCAAAGGGGAGTCACTTTCCACTCGGTGCACTCGCTCATGCCGGAAATTCTGCCGCCGCCACCGCTAGTGGCACTGATGGGCAGTGAAGGGGGAAGCTCGCTAGGACGGGTTTTGCAATGAGGCTTTAAAACGTGTCTAATAATAATGGCAATCAAGTAAGTCGTACTATTGCACTGTTTGAAGCTAATCAGGTGCTTTATGATATTTTGGGGGGAATCTGCGGATGGGGAATGCAGGTGTGGCAGAAGAAGTGCCCGGGCATAGGGTTCATCAAGTCTATGTCCAGGCTGCTTTGACTCGACTTTGCATTTGACGGGGTTGAGCTCTTGATAAATGTGCAACTATATGCTACAGGTTCTCTCCTCTTGCGTGATCGCCGTTGTTTGCCTTGTCTTTGCTGTAAATCCTGTGGAACAAGCGCACGTTCCGTATGGGCAAACGCTGGACTGCGAGGTACATTTTTGCCTAATCCAAATGTAGCACTTTTATCGTGATGCGGCTGATCGAATAATTTTCTGAGGCCTAATCTTGACTTTGGTGTTTACATAACCCATCAAATCAACTCGGTAACGACTTGGGCTACATGTAGCGTGTACCTCAACATTATGTATTGCAGAATATTGTTAGATACAGGAAGACGCAGTGCTGTATACATCTACGCTGGACGCTACATGCAACTGGCTATGAATGCTGCTACTGCTTTGAGGCTGCAGCAACGCGCAACCTCATGTCCTGAAGGGCAGAGCGGGGAAACGAAATGCGTTGGCGAAAAATTCAATAGCCTTCCATCAAGCTCCCATTTAGTCTGGAGCTAAATAGCTTCCTCCTAAAAGACTAGTTGAAGCGCTACAGTCAATAACACGGCATGGTAAGATGCAGCCCCTCCCTGCTCATCCACTGGCTGTGGATGCAGTGGAACGATAGGTTTATCCACAACAGCTGCCTAGTTTCAATCGAGTCATTTAATCATCTGATCACCCCTGGCAAAGAGTAAAAGTCTATCAAAGTCCTTCTAGCGATGACAGCAGAGGGTGGCACAACGCCAATTGGGACAGCAGGGGCGCCGTGCAAGCTGATGTAAACGCGGTAGCTTCATACCAAGTTAAAAAAGCATGATTTATCAGCCGATAAAATGGTTTTGGATCAGCGTATGGGGCAATGCGGACCTGTAAGTATGATGACGAAATATATGGTCAAGTACTCGAAAAATATATCAGCGGGGTAGAGTACCCCGCTTTGTACCCCACAGATGAAAAAAAAGATGCTTCTTGTGGCTGGCTTTTTGAAGACGGAGGGTCATCAATTCAGCGAATTTCGTCTGTCTACAATAGTTCTTACCTTTCAAGCCTTCACGCATGCCCTAACTCACCAATTTATGCGGTAGCATAAAAGCAAGTTTTTGGATTCTACTCGAGGCTGGAACACCTAAGCCTTCTGATACATATGGACATATAGCAGACCCACATACAGTTAATAGTGTCGGCATGAAGATTTCATCCCATAGAACCGCTAAGCTTCCTTGATAGTACGTATAGGTCAAGGCCACGGCTTCGTGCTTCAAATTTTGTTGGATCTTATTCAAATCCTGCAGGCAACACACCTAATATCAAGAACACAATTGTTCTAATTAAGCTGAACACTTCCGCCGTTCCACATACCACTGCTTGTCCCGCAACACCTAAAGCACACCCCCTAGATGCTGTAGGTGCTCCTTAACGTTTTGGCTGAATATAAAGGACTCATGCTTGTGCTTGTAGACAGGCATCCATCCTTCCTTGATAACCCTAGAACTCCCAAGCAGCTTGTTGATGGCGCTCAGCTGGAACATCAACGAGCCCAGGGCGCATAGAGGTATACTTCACTTCTCTAGTGCGGGCTTGTCGTGCTTTTTTGTGCCTGTGATCTCGGTATGGGGATTTGTGAAAAGCATATCTGAAGGCGAACAGCCGAAGGACTGTCGAGTGACGTAATTTGTCCAGGGCTTCACCAAGATGAGGCAGTGGGAAGCTCTGCCTCACACATAGTTTGTTAGGGGACTTCAAGTTAATGCACATTCGCCACCTCCCGTCGCTTTGGGGCGGTGGTACTGGATGATGCAAAAGGTGCTGGTCGCTTCCTGCACGCCTAATTCTTTCAACAAATTGTGCGCCTGTCGTTCAACCTCTTTTCGTGCCATGAGGGCTTCTGATTTCCCGAACAGAGTGTGTGATCGACTCTGGCATTAAGGCAACTCAGTGTTCTGGACGACAACCAGATGGCCAGCCTGTTGACAAATCGTCATTATTTAGCACATCCCCGAGCCCCTTCTTGGCATTTCCCCTTTCTTGCTGTTAAACGAAGGATAATTGAAGCCTGAGGAGGGCATCTCCCTTTCCCTGCCTCGACCTTGAGAATTATGACATGAGGTAGAGGGGACAGCTAGGGCGCGCGTTGCTGCACCCTCTAAGCACTGTGCGCTTTCATTGCCAGTTTGCACGCACCGTCCAGCGCAGATACACACACCATCGCATCTTCCTGTATCCAGCTAACAACACTCTGCAATATATACGATGCGCCGGCGACACAGACAAACTGATCAGACAGTTCTTCACATTTCCTTGCTAGATTTATTACTAGGGTAGTAGATAGCGTTGAAGGGTAGCCTACCACCATCACAGACAGTCAACAAGAACTCATATATGCGTTTTAGGGGCCTGTATTATGAAGGATGTATTTCTTTCGTGCTATTCTTAGGGGTGTCTGTAGTTGAGTGTTGGCATCAGCAACCCTGGAACAATCCCGCTGCGCAAGTTCGGGGGATTCAGCAGCGTGCAGCACGTACTCACAGGAGCCTGAATCATTGGATACTACTCTAGAACGTGTATTCCTTTGCGTGTGGGCATATCTCAGTAGCCGTCCATGCGAGTTCGAGCAGGCACCTCAGCGCTTGTGCCGTTTTAGGGAAAGTACGTGGCCCATCGAACTCAAGACTATGAAAGACTTACACCTCGTTGGGAATAAGGCGCGAACGAGGGAGTTTCGTCAGAATATGCTTGAGGATTAGGACATTGAAAACGGAAAGGAGCGTTCAGACACCGAGTGCAGATACGACATTCATCGTGGAAATGCTCGAAACGGGGGGAGGGGGTTCTTGGGGTTTGAAGCGTACTTGGATTTGAGGCGAAGTGCGGGTAGGGGAATATGCGGACAAGGCCCACCGACTCGCTGGCTTTAGGCGATAGGAAAACAATTACGTCTGCTTAGGGGACAGGGGAATACACTACTTGCCCCTGCTGACGACTCTTGTTGCGCTGAGAGGGTGAGTGCGGCAGAGAAGCCGCCGACGCGCGCAGCCCGCCCACGGCGTGTTGCTGCTGGAGCTGCGGCTGTTGCTGAAAATAATGCTAATAAAAATAAATAACTAGGGTTTCAGCAGGCACAGAATATTAATTCCTTCTGCCTTCCAGTGTAGCGGGGGTTTATACACAGCTCCCTGTTGCTGCTCCGCAGCCCCCAGTATTTCTGCCCGGTGTTTCACCCGTTTGTCCATCGGCAACAGAAACAGCAGCGACGTCACCTTCTACTGCTCGAGCACTTCTGACATTGTCTGCCTCTCATACAGCCCCCTCCTCCTTTCCCCCGCCCACCCCCCTCCCCTCTCTCGCGCCTTCACTCTCTGCAAGCTGCCCGCGATACCTTTACGGCAGGCCGTGTAAAATAGCACAGGCTCTCGGCCATGGCTACTGACGGGATCCACAAGCCTTCCGGGTCCAATGGGGCTGGTGCTGCGACGCCATCAGCAGCAGGATCAACAGAGGCAGGAGCGCAAACGGCAGCAGCAGCCGCAGACACCAAAGAGCGGTACCTGCAGTTACTGCTGACCTCTCTGGTGCTTCTGAGGGATGCCGTCGAGACACAGGATACCCGGTACACGCTGCGCATGCTGCGACGCTTCAAGCAGCTACGGCTTCAGCAGCAGCAGTGCCCCGTGGAGCTGCTGCAGGTTTGCTCCCTGCTCTTCTGGAAGCAGCAACAACTGGTGCAGCAACTGCAGGAAAGAGAGGCCAGCGGTAATTGCAAGGCAAGGAGTAGCACATCTAGCGGCAACTCGTACGCGCACTTAAGCCACCTGCCCCCCAACACGCTTGCTTTCTGGCAGAAGCTGCAGGAAGCTCTTGAGCTAATTGTGAAGGAAAGGCAGAGCAAGGAGGCAGACATGGAAACGGACGGCGTAAGCTGACAACTCTACCCCTCCGCCGTCTCCACGTGGCCTCTGGGAGGGAAAAGGGGGGAAACGAAGGATGCAATGCACAGCACCGGCAGTCTCTGTTGCATCGCTGGCACATGTGTAAAGCCCGTGGGGGGGAGAAAAGGGAAATGCGGAGCGGCGCATCTTCAACTTCCTTTGGTGTATTTTCTGCCGGCCTTTGAGACGTTGAGCTTTTCTGCGTGCTGAAACGATAGAGCAGCGGCTCTTACTCACGCGGCATCCCATAGGACGCATGCAGAGCTCGAAGAACATGCTTTCCCCATGCGTGTCTCTTGCAACATGTGAAAGTGTCGCATCGCCGCTGCGGTGTGTGATTTGTGCGCTCCCTTTCGACAGGTCCCTCAGCAGCAGAAACGGTGTCTAGAAGGTGAAGAGACAGCAGAAGAGACGGATGCGGCAGCTGGAGGCGGCTGCAGCAAAGCGCTGCAAGCTTTTCGCGCGGCATCTTTCCTCTGCTGTCTCCCGGAGGCAGAGGTGTTACTGTCGACTCTCGTGCTGCTGCTGCTGTTAGACCACCGTCCTCAGCAGCAGCAGCAGCAGCAGCAGCAGTGGGAACAGGCGTGGCAGTTCAGCTGCATCCTCATCGAGCGAGTGCAACAACATGACAGGCGGTCACTTGACAGACTAGCTGCCAAGGCGTGGTTCTTCCATAGCAGATCTCTCGAGCTTTCAGGGCAAGCCTGCGATTGCCGCGCGTAAGCAGGGGAGAAGGGAGGAAAGGGAGAGGGGAGGAAAGGGAGAGGGGAGGAAAGCGAGAGGGGAGGAAAGCCTTTGCTGTGGCTGGGGGGGGCAGTATAGAGGTCAAGCGGTAGAAGGTTCAGGTTTAGGATCTTTTGCTGAGGCACAGCCCTTCCTGCCTTCTCCCCATTCCCACCTGCCGCCACACGCGCTTGCTGTCTTTCGTCATATGCTGCATCCTTGGCTCTAGCAGCAAGTTGGAAGAGAGGCTTGCGCATGTTGTTCAGGGAGTACCTTGCTGCCTACCGCACGGCGAGTGCTAGGCGAGACATCATGACGCAGGCCACCCTTCTGAACTTATTGCTGCGGCTGTTTGTTTCCAACAAACAATATGACGTGGCTCTAAAACTGGTATTTCTGCTGCATGCGGTTTTTCTGCTGTTGAAGACTGAAGTGTCAAGATCTGTTGCTCCTCCCTCGGGCACGACATCTCCCCGTGCACCTGTCTCTCTCTCTCTCTCTCTCTCTCTCTCTCTCTCTCTCTCTCTCTCTCTCTCTCTCTCTCTCTCTCTCTCCTATTTTCTTGTTTTGACAAAAGCTGCAGATTTCCTGCCCGCAGCACAGGGCTTTCCAAATGCTGTACTTCCAGCATCTCTGTGATATGCATTTGCTTCCTTGTCACACAGGTGCAGAAAACAGGCTTCCCGGAGGGCCTTCAGTCAAATGCACAACATGCGCGTTATCTGTACTACCTGGGTTCGTTGCAGTTGCAGTTGCGACTGCCCTCTCTCTTGCTGACATGCACGGCTACTGCTGCTGGTGCCGTCTGCTGTAGTAGTCTGCGTTCGTGCGGCTCGTGGGAATGGTGCTGTCTGCTGACTGCGTAATATTGCCGATGGCTCTGCAGCCGAGTCCATTGCCGCAGCCTTTCGGGAGGCCCCTGAACGGACGTCTTTCGCCTTAGTTTCGCCGGCTCTCGGTGTCTCTTGAGCTGTGAGTGAGAGAGACTTCTTCGTTGCACTGTTGTGTCTCCTGCTGCTTCGTCCGCTGGCGCTGCAGGTCAAATCCAGGCAGCTCGTTTGGAGTATGGGGCAGCCTTCTCGCATTTGCAGCTTGCCTTGCGCAAGGCTCCGCAGCAGTCAGCAGTAGCCAGGGGATTTAGACTGGCGGTAAGACATCGGCTCTCCCGTTGCGTTTTTGCATTCCCTGTGGCGCCTTTATGCGTGTAAGGGCAGTCGTACCCTGTGTGAGCTGCTGCTGCTTGCGGCTCCTCCTTGAAGAGATGCAAGACAATTAGCAGCAGCTGCTGCAGCGCGATGAGCAAACACCTGCGCTCCCTCTCCTTCTTCTCGCTGTGTCTCTTGCCCAGGCCCTCAAGAAATGCATCGTCGTTGAGCTGCTTATGGGGGATATTCCTGAGCGTTCGCTCTTCAATAAGCAAAACATGCACGCAGAGCTTGTCCCCTACAGAGACATCGTACTGGTGCGCTTCGCAGGCAGCCACAAGAGCAGCACTATGTGTGTGTGTATATATGTGTGTATATATGTGTGTATGTGTGCGTATGTGTGTGTATGTGTTTGTGTATGTGTATGTGTGTGTGTGTTTATGTGTGTCAATGCACATAGCTATTTATATACATATATATAGGCACCGGCCGCGCCACTGGCAGGAACTATTTGTTGAGAGGAGAGTTCCCTCTGAGTTTCCTGACGTCTGTTGCATTGTCTGCTTTGTATGTTTACGCTTCTCAGGCCGTGCGAAGCGGTGATCTGCATGCGTTCGCTGCAGTGCTTCAGCAGCACGAGCAACGCTTTAGGCTAGACGACACGTACACTCTACTTCGCAGGCTGCATCAGAACGTCATTCGGGCCGGGCTGCGAATAATTTCCCTCTCCTACTCGAGAATTTACTTCGTCAGTTGCCGCGCGTAGTGCCACTGACACTGATACGGCTGCGGTCGGCTTTATTTTCTTGTGCTGCTTTCGTGGTTCTGTGGGAGTGGTGCTCTGCGTCTTCTTCTGTTGCAGTTTGAGCAAATGCGCGCATGTGGATGAGTATCGGTGTCTCTCTGCGTGTATGTATATGTATGGGTCTGTGTATGTGTGCACATCTGTATGTGTGTATATCTGTATATGTGTATATCTGTATGTCTGTACATCTGTATGTGTGTACATCTGTATGTGTGTATATCTGTATGTGTGCACATCTGTATGTGTGTACATCTGTATGTGTGTATATCTGTATATGTGTATATCTGTATGTCTGTACATCTGTATGTGTGTACATCTGTATGTGTGTATATCTGTTTGTGTGCACATCTGTATGTCTGTACATCTGTATGTCTGTACATCTGTATGTGTGTATATCTGTATGTCTGTACATCTGTATGTGTGTACATCTGTATGTGTGTACATCTGTATGTCTGCACATCTGTATTTGTGTACATCTGTGTGTGTGTACATCTGTATGTGTGTATATCTGTATATGTGTATATCTGTATGTGTGTATATCTGTATGTGTGTACATCTGTATGTGTGTGCATCTGTATGTGTGTACATCTGTATGTGTGTACATCTGTATGTGTGTACATCTGTATGTGTGCACATCTGTATGTGTGTACATCTGTATATGTGTACATCTGTATGTGTGTATATCTGTATGTGTGTATATCTGTATGTGTGTACATCTGTATGTGTATATATATATATATGTGCATATCACTGCGTGTATGCGTGTACATCTGTTTGTGTATATCTGTATGTCTGCACATCTGTATGTGTGTACATCTGTATGTATATATATATATGTGCATATCACTGCGTGTATGCGTGTACATCTGTATGTGTGTATATCTGTATGTGTGTATATCTGTATGTGTATATATATATATGTGCATATCACTGCGTGTATGCGTGTACATCTGTTTGTGTATATCTGTATGTGTGCATGTGTGTTTCTGCTGCCGCGCATTCTACAGAAGGACATCGCTTTAAAGCTGGGACTGGATTCGCCTCAAGAGGCAGAGGCTGTGTCTGCCAAGGCTATCTTGGATAGAGTTATTGACGCTACTATAAACCATGACAAACAGTTTCTTGAGTCTAAAGTGCGTGTTTGGGGGGTGTAGCAAGCATGGTCTTCACGAAGCGGCGACTCCCGCGTTCGTGCATTCACGTGTAGCTTTTTGAGGGGAGCGTTTGCGCGGGATGTAGCATGTCTGCCCTCGGAATTACGCTTGCCTCGGCGTCTCACGAGCAGCAAAGTGGTCCTTGACTGCTAAGGAGTGACTTGCCCTCGTTTTAGTAGGCCATGGGTGCATGCGCCGGCGCTGTTGCGGTGCTGTTTGTGCCCCATTGCTTTTGCTGCTCAGGCAAGTGTTGACCTGTACGCCTCCAACGAGCCACAGAAGGCCTTCCACCGTCGCATAACCTTTTGCCTGGATCTGTACAATGACGCTGTCAAGGTAGCACCAAGAGGCAGAGGAGCACCAGCTGTCCTAGCAGCTACAGGGCAGCGCCTTCTGAGCAGCCTCAGCTGCAAGGACCCCCGGCAAGCCCGTGGCGGCTTCACGCGCACTGCTGCAACAGAAGCTCCAGAAGCAACGCAGGCTTGCGCTTCCAGCAGCGTTGTACGTGTGTGCTTGGGCTTCCTTGCGGTGCAGGCTATGCAGTATCCAGGCAGCTCGGAGCGCCAACAGACGGCGGAGGACGATGAAAGGAAGCGAGCCATGCAGGAGGAAAGAGCCAGAGTGTGTAAAGCCAGCGCCTTTAGGGGCTGTAGAGGCCTAGGGACAACAACGATAGGCATAGTTGTGCTGCTCCTAAGCTCAGAATAAGTGGCAACAAAGTCAAACACTTGCAGATGCTGCAGCATAGCTACACAGGAGGCGCAGCGACACTGCCGGCAAACAACAGCACAGGGACGCAGCAGTTGCATTCACAATACGACAGGACCGCCACGAGCGCTGTTAGAACCGGGCGCAGCTCCTGCATGTAGCGACTGATCCCCTTCACCCCCCTCCTCCCGCGCGAAAATCAGAATTTGCCTAACGCCACCCTCTCTAGCAGCACACGCCGCAACAAGCCGAGCAAATATAGTGGCAGTTGCAGTGGGCCGTAACACCTGCCACCATACCGAGCTCTGCGGCAACCTCCATAGAAGCAGCGCCAGATGCTTGGATACGTAGAATTTGCCAGTAGATGCGTCGCGTTACAACGTAGGCGGGGAGAACCGTATCAGGATCCTCCCTATGGTCTGTTGCTCTGTGAAATGTTTTCGCTGTGAAATATATGTGTGTATCTATGTTTGCATGTGAATTGAGTCCGCCTATACGGTCATGCTAATGTTGGATAGTGATAAGATTTCCACTGGCTGCTGAGTCCACGGTACTGGCATTCGCGGTTGGCTGCATGCAGGCGGAGGATGATGACCTTGGGGACGATATGGACATGATCTAAGCCCGGAATGCATACCGTAATGGTTCCCATTGCAGCGAGGGGTGATAGATGCGGCGCACATGGGGCTGTGATGCAGGCAGCGAGACGGGCAAGCACTTTGCTTAACGGCTGTAAGCATGCATGCTTGCATGCTTACTTGCCAGCTTTGAGAATGCATGCGTGCTTGCATGGGCCCGTTCTGGGAGCGTGTTTACGCGAGGCACATATAAGCATTTTAAATTGGTATCTGCGTGCAAAAATCTTGCATGCATGCATGCACCGAGCACTAGAGTGAGTTTTGCACTCTGACCTTGAAGAGCTGTTGCCCTTGGTCAGGGTCGTGGGGCGGGTAGGAACACCCCTCTAAACGCTCTAGAAACAGGGGGTTGTCTTTTCGTCTGAATGGCATTTGCTCTGGAGGGGGGTACAAAGGCAAAGCAGGAATATGGCAATAGGTTTATTCTAGCTGTCAGAGGCACGATGCCTCAGTAGACTAGGTTTGCTGATCTTACTCTGCTTGCGGGTGCTCTAGAAGTGTTGCTTTTGACGCTGTTTATTATTATTACATGAAAACGGATTGCAATGCGGCGCCTCTAGGCGTCCGCAAGCTTCGTGGGTTTTTCCCCGTGGAGCAACTGACTAGAGGCAACAGCGCAGCCACGGGGTCTCGCGAATGTTGCTTTAAAAATGCGAGGCCTGTTGAGAAGCGGCACCCGTAGAGTTCTAGTTGGCTGCTTTACTCGGCTTACCCGTTGGCTGCAGTTCATACGATAGGCGTGCGTTGACGCCGTAAGTGCGGGGTGGTGAGTGGCATACAAAAGCTTTATCCTTGCCCCTCACAGCTAGCGTACCAGGAGCAGGAGCACTAACGGGGGAAACTAGACGGCTACTGCTTCCGGTGCCTGAACAGCATACGACTGATTGTCCACGTCGAGGCACGTGCGCTTGCGGGACTTGAAAAGCTGCTGCACTCCCAGGAGGCATTGCAGGAGGAACTGCAGCTGGATATGCGCCTGGCGTCGCGAGGCCACCTGCGGGTAGAGACAAACACTTAGAAAACACGCACTGTTAAGGCGAGGGGCAGAAGCAGTCATCGTGAAGGCACATGTCGCAGTTTTGCTGACGAAAATGACACTGTTCACAGAGAGCACTGGGCATGACGAGTCTCTACACCGCAAAACTTCGAAGGCTCACCGCCATACTGAGGGGGTGATGCTGGCGGTCCTGAGAACTGAAGGTGCTTGCCGTCTGAGCTATTCTGCCTCTCCACCATAGTTGCGAGCTGGAGTGACTGCTGCAGGAGCTGCAGTACCTCGTCCACCAGAATGAGTTGCTCGCGCTGAGGGAGGATGAGGTTCTCCTGCGTCTGCAGTGTCTTGCAGAATCCCATTGCTTGGTCCTCTGGTAGACAGCGATAGGCCGCAGAGACTAGCTCTATAGTGGGGGCCCCCGCTGCCTTCGCCTTTCCCAAAAGCTGCAGCGTGATGCTGCTGTCTAGCAAGGGCCCTAGACCCCTTGCTGCGTGCACAAGGGCCATCGGGTGCGCTGCTGTTGCTGCCTGCAGTAGAGCCGCAACCGCCTCATCCTGCTGCTGCAGCGGGGACGCTGCTGTTGCCGCTGCCCGCCGTTGGATGAGCTGCACTGCTTGCCGAAGCTGTTCCTCTGCTGCAGGCTGCGCAGGCTTGCTGCGGCTGACCTTTTCCCAGAGAGCAGCAGCCCGAGAGCGCGGAGACACAACTTTGCCAAGGGCCTCAAGCCCAAGCAGAGGAGATAAGTACTCCGATAGACTGCAAATGGCTTCTGCTACCTCCTCAGCACATATGGATAGAGGCAGTGAGAGCAACACATGTAGCAAAGAGACTCCAGACACACGGCCTCTCAGGCGCAGGAGCCAAGATATTACTTTGCTGCATATTTGCCTTGCTCCGGGTGCCAGCCGTGCTGGTGGTGTTGGTGCTGCGGCTGCTGCTGTTGCGGAGAACGTGGATTCCAGCGGCGACTGCTGTTGCTGGAGAGCCCGACGCTGCTCGTGGGGAGTGGCTATAAGACTCACGAGCTGCTTGATTATCTGCAAGGCTTCGTTGTTGTCACCAGCCGCTGCTGATGATGCAGCTGCTCTGGCGACATTTGCTGTCCCTTCTTGACCAGTGAGGGACTGCTGGTGGCTTAGCTGCTGCTGCCTTACAGATAGCTCTGCTAGTTGTTGACTAAGCTGCTGGACCTGCGCAGAGATAGCCGCTGCCCCTGAGGAGTCTACAGCAGGAGACGCACGTGTAGGCGCAGCAGACGAGACGCCTTGGTCCTTGCTGCGAATGTTCTCGATCACATCCCTCATCATATGTTCGTGGTGCCTGTTGAAATCCGTGAAGCACGCCCGCATGGACTGCAGCGCAGCTGCTGCCTCCGCCTGCATGAAAGACAGCTCCAGAATCACTACATCCATGGATCGAGTAGGCAAAATAATACAAAGACAGACCGACAGTCTGCGAAAGGGGGTTTTCAACAGCAAGGAATTTCAAAGGCACAGGTCCTGGCCGGAGCAGGAGACGGTTGTCTGTTCGTACTAACGGAAAATGGCAGCAGAAGTCGCCGGCGCTGCTGTGGCATGGACGTACACTGGCCTCTTGAGCTTTGTGGTTCTTTTGGTTAAGCTCAATCTCCAGACGGCTCTTGTCGAGCTGCAGGGCATTGATGCGCTCTTTAAGCTGCACGACTCGCTCCTCTGCAGTTGCCGCGGCTGCTTTTGCGTCAGTAGCAGCGGCCGATGCCGCTGCTGCTTTCTGCCTCTCCGCTGCATGTGCTTCCCGCAATTCTTTGACTAAGGCTTCCGCAGCAGTCAGTCGCTGAGACAGAGCGCTGCACTCTTCTTTCGTCACCTCAATCTCAACAGCAGAAGTGGTCTTCAGATCCTGCATAGCGAATCACAAGCCATGCAACCTAAAAGCTAGCACCCTAATACTTCTTTCCTTGATTCAGAGCTTTGTGTTTCCGAGCAAATAGAGTGGCGGTGCTTTGTTTGATAAGGATGCGAACTTGCGGAGCGCACATCTTTTTCTGCTTCCGCTTCTCTCTGAAGCTTCATCAGGGCTGCCTGCGTGGCCAAATTTTCCTCATGAGCTGCGCGGTGCTTGCTTTTAGCCTCTGCAAGGGCACTTTTAAGGCCTGACACCTCTTCAGTGAGACGCGCTGCGTCAGCCTGAGCTGAGGCTGCCGCCGTTAGCTGTTGCTGCGTCTGTTGGTATCGTTTATCAAGAATTTCCAGCTCGCCTTGCAGCTCCTCTATGATCTGCTCTCGCTGTTGCACACGTTTCTGCAGCGTCAAACAGCAAAAGTATATCGCAAATGTGAATGCATGTGCCATGCGGGCACGCATGTGAAGCGTGCTATATTTCATCGCTCAGAAATGTTAGTAATTGGACAGGCAAAATCTGTCGGTGCAGCTCTTCGCTCTCTGCGGCTGCAGCTCCTCACCCTGTCCGCTGCACACGTGCTATGCTACTCTGAGCATTCCTAGAGACGCACTCCGGAGAGCTGTGCGTGTATTGGCTCTTAGGATAGCCGTGGTAAGTCTCTTGTGTAGGCAGTGTGGCTTACCTTGTACGAAGCGGCTTCTTGCTGTCTCTTCGAAGCTTCCGCAGATGCGTCTGAAAGAGCGTCCTGCATTTCCTTGAACTTCTCATTTGCTGCTAGCATATTTTGTCTCCTCTTTGCAAGATCTGCGTTGGCAGCCTGGAGCTGCTCATTGACTTTCGCGTGCAACTGCTTCGCTGTCTCGAGCTGTTTTGTCTTCTGCTGCAGCTGTTGCTGCAGTAGCTGCGCCTGCTCCTCAGCCTCTTTCGCACGCTGCAAGCTTTGTTTCTGCTGATGGCGCGTTCTATTCAGCTCGTCCTCTAGGTGTTCGTGCCTCGCCAGGGCCTTGTCTCTGCTATTCTTCGCCGACTCGTATTTGGCGGACAATTCCTCCATACTCCTTTGCAAATCCTGCACCTCCTCGCCGAGTTTCTCGAGGCGCTGGGTAAGAGCGTTTCTAAACAAATCCCCCTGTTTCCGCTTCTGAGCCTCTTCCTTCAAGCGTGCCTCTAGAGCTGCAGGACACCAGAAAGAGCAAGCAATATAGGGTGCAAGGGAGGTTTATGCTAAAAGCAGCAAAATGCAACGAAGGTCGTGTAGTGAGCTGACAAGGAGAAGCAGTCCGAACAGGGCTCTTGTTTTCTCCCTCTCAGGAGAAACAAAAAGGCGAACGCAATACCCCACCCACTGAACGTGCTTGTTTTGGCAGTGGAATGCAAACTCAACAAAAATAGGGGAGCGGCATCCAGACAACAATTAGCACGCAGTACTGTGCAGCAAGCTGGTGTTGGCACTTACATTGAACCTGCTCTGTCGCTTCATCCAGCTTTGTCTGCCACTGCTTCTCCAAGTCCTCGCGCTCTTTCTTGTACTGCTCCCGAGATGACTCTGCCTCGGCGTCTCTCTTCTCTCTTTGCACTGCAATCTCATGCTTTAAGCGTTTCATCTCGTTCTCGAGCTCCTGCCGCTCATTTTGGAGGTCCTGTTGGTGCTGAAGAAGCATTTTGCGCTTTCTCTCCTCCTGCTCACCTTGTAGGGTGGCGAGTTTGGCCTGTAGCGCAGTCGCCTTTCTCTCGGCTTTTTCAGTGCCTTTCTGCCGCAGTGTTTGAATTGTGTTTTCGTATTTTTGCTGCAACTCTTCGAGCTGTTCGGTGTGAAGCCGCTTGAGCCGTTCTGCGTGTTGTTGGTTCATAGCCCTTTCTTCGTGTAGCTGCGCCTCCAGCTTGCGGTGTCGTTCTTTTATCATTTGCTGCTGCTGCTGTTGCTGCTGATCCAGCTCTCTTTGCAGCTTTTCGCACCTCGCAGCCAGCATTTTCCGCTCAAAGTCTGCAGCCTCGGCCTGTTGCTTCATCACGAGAGACTCGCTTGTGGATGCCTCCAGCTTACGCAGCAGCGCCCTATGCGCTCTCTCAGTTTCGCCCTTCTCTTTAGCAAGCTGCGCCTTTTCTTTCTCTGTCTGTCGCTCCATCGTGTCCCGCTCCCGCTGCAGCTGCAGCATCAACTGCTCCTTCTCTTCGAGTAAGCGCTGCTGCACTTGTCGCGCCTCGTGATTCATGTGCTCTCTTTCCTGCTGCAACTGCTTCAGCAACGCTTTCTTCTCCTGCTCCTTCTGCGTGTGCAGTCGCTCTTTTTCCTGCTCCAAATTCTGCTTTATCTGCTTTGTCTCATCCTCCAGGAGTGATAGGGAGCGCGTCAGCTTCTCCTTCTCTTCCTCTACTGCAGCGTGCAGAGCCCTCGACTCCCGCACCTTGGCAGCCGCTTCTTCTTTTTCTTGCGTGGCTGCCAAGTACTCTGCAGCGTAGCGACGGGCCGCTTCCTGCGCCACTTTGGTTTGCTCTTGAAGAGCTTCCAGCCCCTGTTGGGATGCCTGTGCTTCCTCCAGCAATCCATGAGTCCGCTTCAGCTCCTGGTGGCCTTCCATTGCCTGCGCCACTACCTTGCTGTACTCCTCTTCAAAATACGCCTGCATAAGCTGTCGTTCGCGCAGCGCTTTTTCCTTCTGCTGCTGTACCTGCTGTTGAAGCTCCTGCTGCATCGTCTGCTGCAGCTGCTGCTCCCGTTCTTCATACTGCTGCCGCTGCTGCTGTAGGGCTTCTTCAGCCGTCGCTAGGAGCTCCTTGTTTTGATTTTCAAGGGCCTTTGCGTACGCTTCCAGCTCAGACAGCTTTTGAGACGCAAAAGTGATCTGCTCCTGCTGGAGGGGGCTGCCCTTCTGCTGCTCTTGTTGCTGGTGTAGCTGTAACACCTGCGCCTGCAAGCTAACGCACAGCTTTTGCAGCTCCTCGTTAAGGGCCTTGTAGTGTTCGCGTTCTGCGGCCTCTTCTGGCTCATACAGCTTGACTGCTGGCGAATGAGGGAGTCCAGTGGGGGCAAGCGCAGAGCTCGGAAGGGTGGTAACAGGAGAGAGAGCAGGGGGCAAGCCGTCAAGGTGCTGTGAAGGCTGCTGCAGCATCAGCTTTGAACGCTCTTGCAGTACAGACTTGGGAATAGGGAGATTTCTAGAGGCCTCCAGCTCCATGTACTGTTCTCTTATGGCTTTCTGAGAAAGGGGCAGACGAAAGCAGTGGGGAGTTCCGAAGGGGTGCAGTCAAACAATCGATAGACACGCCAGAGTCGAATTGGCAAAGGCAGACCGTTCAGACACAGAGAAGCAAGCAGCAGCGGTTAGCCAAGGCGTAGCATGGGATGCAGAGCAACGCAACATTAGCTCCGGGTGTATTTCACAGGAAAAGGGAGAAATGAGGTGCATGTTCTCCCGCGCTGGCGCAGTACCTCTAGCTCCTGAATCTTCAGCCTCTGCTCATCTTTTGTCGCAGTCGGAGAGAAAAGTACAATAGCGTCTTGTGCGCGGCCTGGGGGTTGGCCTTGCAACTGCTGTTGCAGCACTTCTCTCTGCTGTTTTGTAATTTGCTCTTGCTGCAGAGCAGCCTGCTGCATCAACTGCTCACGCTGATCCTCTGGTAGAAGTGGCCTCTGTTGCTCCTGCAAGAGCTGCTGCTGCTGCCCCTCTAGGATTTTTTCTTTTGCTTCTTGTGGCTGCATTTGTTGCTGCTGCATTTGCTCACGTTCGTTCTGCAATTGCCTTTCAAATTCGATTTTCAGCTCTTCTTGGTATTGTTGCTGCTGTTGCTGCTGCAGCAACAGCAGTTGCTGCTGCTCCTGAACGACCTGCTGCAGCCTCAGCAACTCGTCACGTTGCTGCTGCACCTCCAATTCGTGCTGCTCTAGTGTCTGGTGCTCCTGCTGCAGCTCGTCAGTCTGTCTCTGATACTCGGACGCTCTGAACGCCTCTTCTTCCAGCAGTTGCTGGCGTTGTTGTTCAAGTTCTTGCTGCTGCAGGAAGAGCAGCTCTTGCTGTTTCTGGTGTTCGTCGATTAGCTGCTGCTTCAGCTCCTCTTGCTGTTGCATTTCTCTCTCCAGCTCTTCTCGCTGCTGCCTGTGAGCCTCCTCCAGCTGTTGTTGCTCTTCCAGCAGCAGCTGCCTCTGCTGCTCTAGTTCTAGCTCCAGGTGCTGCTGCTGTTGCTCCTGCTGCTCCTTCAAGCTCTGAAGTTCATCCATTTGCCGCTGGTACTCCTCGAGAAGGGCCTGCTGCTGCTCCCTTTGCTGCTCGCGCTCAGTTTCAAGAGCAGCGACAGCCTCGAGTTGCTGCGCCTCCAAGAGTCGCTTGTGTTCAGCAATATACTCCTCTTGCTGCCGCTTCAAATCTGCCTTCAGTTTCTCCTCCTTCTCCTTCAACTCAGCTTCCTTCTGTTGAGTGAGCGCGATTGAACTGCTCAGCTTCTGCTTTTGCAACAGGCTACTGGACAGCCTGGCAGACTGGTGTGCTGCCATCTGCTGCTGCTGTTGTTGTTGCTGCTGCTGCAAACTGACCATGGCTTCGGTGCGAGCCTCCTGCTGCTGCTGGAGCAATGCGTTGCTTTTCTGCCGCTGCAAGTTGGCCTTAGCTTCCATCTCATCGAAGTGCTGTAGCTGCTGCTGAAGGAGCGCCATGAGCCTCTGCCTGGCTGTAAATCGGCTTCCGAACTCGCCAGTGCCCATGGCTCGGTGCTGCCGCAGCTCGGCAGTCAATTGTAGAAACTCCTCCTTCTCTACAGCTGCTGCAGCACGACAACTTTCGAGGGCAGCCCTTATGTTTCCCATTTGCATACGGATAATTTCCAGTTCATTCTGCTGTACAGCCACCTGCCCATCCAGTAGTGCTGCGGCCTGCCTGTGTTGCTGTTGCTGCCGAATTGCCGCTGCTGCCAGCGCAGCCATAATTCGCTCCTCCTCCGTCACCAGCACCTCATTCTGCTTCCGCATGTCGAAAGGCTGCGGAAAAGAATGCGGCTGCAGCTGCTGCCCACAACCAGGAGGCACGCGACACGAGAGTCTCTCATCGACCATCAGTGCGCGACCCGGGTATGGGCCCCCCCCCTGCAGCTTGCGTTGCAGGAGCTGCTGTTGCCGTGGTAGCAACATCATTTGCTGCTGCATAAGGTCTCGAGACACGTCGCCTTTAGACACGCCAGGAGGGGCTGAATGGCCAAATCGGGAGCCTCTGTTGCTGCTGGTGCTGCTGCCGTCAGAGAGCCCTCTGCGGGGCTTTTCCACTGCATCTGCATGCACACTGGCAAGCGACTGCGTGTGTTGTGGCCTCTGTCTTTGTGCCTCCTCTGTTTTGCCGCTACCGCTTTCACCCAAAGACGAAGTACTTCTTCTCGAGGACGGAGGGAAATCTCGAGCGCTCTGAATCTTCTCGTCCCTTGCCGCCTTCCTGGAAGTCTTCTCAGTGCCTTCTTCGTCTGATGAGCTCCCTGAGCCGTCGGACGAGGCGTCCAGAAGAGAATCCCAGGAGTACGACAGCCGATCGGTGCCCGTGCGTGGCTTTGTGGCTTTTCCTGAAGAGCTGGAGCTCTCAGCGGGACGTGCATGCCCTTTTGCTGAAGCGGCACTGGAGGGGCTGCAAAGAAGGCTGTCGCCTCCACTGCTACGCACATTGCTGCTGGATCCGGGCTCAACGACACTGCGTTTACCTTTTGAGACTGAGGTAGATGCTGCGTCGTCGGCTACACTGGAAAGCGCCGAGGAGGCCAGCGAGGGCAGCAGGGTCAGTGGTGTTGAATGTTCGCCATGCCTCTGCTCCGACTCTTGTTGCTGTTGCGGCGGCAGCGGCGCTGGCGACCCTCGCTGCTGCTGAGAGCCTCTGTTGCTGCTTTTCCTTTCACGAGGGCTGCTGCTTTCGCGCTTGCTGCTGCTGTTTTCACCAGCAGAGGACTCTGCAAACAGCAGGCGGGACGGTTGCGCAGTGGAGGCTTGGGGCCTGGCCGATACTCCTGAGAGGAGCAGCCTGGGAGCGGCTCGACGGTCGTCTCTAGGCGACCTGGGGGCCTTTTCAGCAGGCAGAGTGGGTGAGAGAGATTGCACGGGAGCTCCGTCTGCTGCCGGAGTAGCGGCCAGGGCACCTTTGGCTTCGGTTCGTGCGGCTGATGAAGACGGCGAGCACGGGAAAGAGCTCGTGATGCTCGCCATCGGACTTCTCTGACGTCCTCGTGCATCGGACGGCGGTTGCGGCGAAACAAGCGCTGCTTCCGGCTGTGCAAGGAGAGAGAAGGACGAGGAGCTCGAGAGCACAGGCACGTCAGGCCCCTGGGGGTCTCCTGTGTGAGACATGAGGGAGGGCCTTAGAGAGGGAACAGGCTGCGTGGCTTCGAGCTGTTCTGGTGATGCGGATAAAGAGGAGGACGAGGAAGCCGTTTTCGCCAGTTGAGCAGCAGGTTCGCGAGCTGGGGAGGCCGCAGCAAGGCTGCCGGCACTCCTCTCGGTCGCTGCTGAGAAGGAGTTGATCAGCTGCGAAAGACCTGTGCGAAACACTGCCGCGGAAGTCTCCAGATCTTGTAGATCCGAGAGGTGTGAGCCCCCTGGGAGGTTTTGGGAGGGCGCGTTGCCGCGGGCTTGACTTTCCGAGGAGCTTCGAGACTTCGCCGCTCCCGCCGCGGCGGAGGAGGCTTCAAGGGGGGAGAGAGCTCTTGATCCAGCGGCAACAGAGCTCCTCGGAGCTTCTGAAGGCTGCATTGTGTGTGCACTGGAGGCGGCAGCCGCAGGCAAGTGTTGGGCTTGCTGCCCCTCGAGGGCCTGCGTTGCGTGCCTCCCCGATGCAGGCGGAGGGCGTGGCAGCGCTGCTCCTGCTGCTGTTGCTGCTCTGTCGTCCGAGGATTCCTCCATTTCATCAGGAGGAACCAGGTGCGGTGCAAAACGGACGCTGTGTCGGGGTCTTCTCTCCCCTCTAGGGCTTCTTTGGACCGAGGAGGGAGACAAGTCACGGAGAACTCCGGAGCGAGGAGACGCCGAGGCGGAGGAAGAACTGGGCTTCATCGCTCATGGATGAGGGCAAATCGCGCAAAGATCCCGGCTCTGGGATCTTAGAGGCTTCTTCCGCGGGAGAAGAATCGGGCAAGGCCTCACCAGCGGTAGGTTCAGCAAGCCGGAGTCAGCCCCCCAAATCGAGCTTTGCACGGGCCTGAACGAGGCATTCAAAAGCCCCCTTCAGCGCAAGTGGGTGTATCTTTACACGCACATAGAGAAGACAAGCGGAAGGCAGCAAGACACCCTGCAATTCACTCCGAGAGAGCCATAGACGAGCCGGCCTAGTCCACCGGTCATTGCCGACGAGTCCTGTGGAAGGCACCCATCCAAGGGGGATGCGCACACTAGAGAAAGACAGCTTCCCTCTTTCTGGTACACGGAAAACATGAACAAAACAATTCACAAAGGATGATTGGCTTAGACGCTGCGAAAATGCACGCAGAATGATGGCAACACCTAACGAGCCTGCTGCCCCTAAGATGTGTGTGTGTTGCTGCGGCTGCTGCTGCCATAGGTACTGCTGCTGCTGCGCCTCAGTGGGCTCACCCGCAGGAGCGGCTTTCAGCGCTGCGATTTTCGCCGTCTACGTTCGATATTTTCATGAAATTTTCATCAGGTTTGCGGGAGCGGGGCTCCGGAAACTACAGAGGAGGCTCCTTGCTCCCGTCCTCCGACCGTTTCGTATGGGTGCTCAAAGGTGCTCTCCTGAATCCGCCGGCACATCCCCACGGACGGCAGCAACAATGCTCCACACACATTGTTTCCGTGCGTTCCCTAAGAATATCAGAGGGTTCTTTGCCTCTCTAAAGGCCTTGGACCCTAAAAGCAGTGCACCCTCAAGGCAGCAAAGTACCACGAAACAGGCTAGATGCATGCCACCGTGCCGTATAATTTTAAACACGGCAAGCAGGAGCACATACTGCCAGGGGAGGCAGCATCCACAACTCTGACTCTCTAGCACACGTGGGCAGGCAGTGGCCGCTGCTCTAGAGACAAGCGCCACCCTGCGTACGCCATGGTCGTACATAGGAGGAGCTGGAAGCTTGAAGCAGTTTCCAGCTGTCTAACGGTACCCCACCCGTGGGAGAAAGGACCCTGGAGCTTTATGGGGGGAGAACCGGGGCCGAACAGATAAGAGAAGGCTCTAGAGGTGCCCTATGCTGCGCTTCATGAATGCCGCAACGTCCCGCCTCCAGTCTAGTACTGCTACTGCGTCACAGCCTAAAGATGCTGTGGTGTAAGTGCTCAGGGAGGGGCAGCACCCCCACCTAAAAATAAGATTTTAATGAGAAGATGATAGCAGGGGCTCAGAGACCAGCTGCCGCCCGAGGTGGCCAAGAGCCGATCATATAAAAGCAAGTTTGGTTTGTTTGCAACAGAGGGTCATCTGCTGTAGTACAACCAGCAGTTCTGCCCCCCAGAGCCTCACACCCTTGCACCATATGAAGCATCCCTCACCGAAAAGTGGGCATCCATTGAAGTCCTCTGGGCTATTTACAAGGGCCACGTTGCCGGAGGCCCTTCCTCCACGCCTCCCCTCCTTTGCACCCTCCCCCCCACCCGTCACATGCGGAGGCTCTGTACGTACTAATATCCCTATCGCGTGACTGCCAAATGTCTGGTCTTCCCGTTGCTAGCTATCTTAGTGCGCGTGACTCGCCGTGTCATGCCCGCTTGGTCTGTGCCCTACAAGAAGGCTTCAGGTGGAAGCGCGCTCTTGAAAGTGCCATCAGCAACCATAGATTTGAGGACGTCTATTCCCCCTAGCAGCTCCCCCTACGCAGGGTGCACGCACGGGCAGACACACGTTCACACTGACTGATGGGCAGCCATAAAAACAGACAAGGGAAGACAGCCAGCAAGACATTGACAGCATGCAAGCGAGAGGGGTTTCCCCGTACGGCAAACAAGGCGTCATGCAAGCGTTAGTGCGAGTTTAGCATTCGTCTGACCTTCGACCTGCGTGCTTGAGAAAAGCTGACACGAAAAGCGTCAGGCAGCAACAGATCGAGGGAGAGAAAGAGAAAGACCGAAAGAGGGGCTGTGTGGATGCAAGCGCCGAAGGGCATCATGCAAGCGGCAAGATACGAGCTTATACCTACGTGCTACAGACAAATGCCAAGGCACAGACGAGACATCACATGCACAGACAACAGCCGGACTGTCAAAGTGCGCGCTAGCACAAATGAAAAACATCAAGAGGCGGTAGCTGCTGTAACTCACATTGGCGTAGAGCTGTGGATACGTTGGCCAGTCTGAGAACTTCTTGAGGCCCTCCCGAACCTAAGCAGCACGCACCCCGCAAATACTGGCGTCGGGCATGCAGCATACATATGCGCGACAGTGGGAGGTGAACCTGGAGTTTTGGAAGAACTATGACACAGCAGCAGGCAAAGAACGGAGCGCCAGAAGAACGAAGAGCAGCCAAGCAGGAAGCCGCAGAAGCAAGAGGCGACGCGAAGACTCTGAGCTACCTGAAGACGATAAGCTACCTACCGATGGATCCTCAAAGACATCAAACGTTCCGAAATTCTTAACACCCTGCTCTTCTAGGAGCGCTAAGACGGCCTTGCTGAAGCGACAAAAAGGGGCTTCCCTCTTGCCCTTCATGAAGAGCATCACAGGCTGCTGACGGACCAAGGCGGCGAGACGCTTGTTGAGCTGCTCTTCCGTCTCTACGGGAACACCGAGCTGCTGTTGCAGCGCCGTTTGTGCTGCTGCTGCGCTTCCTCCTGCACTCAGGGCCCCCAGGCAGCTGACCAGACAAGGGACGTCGCTCCCCACTAACTGCCCGATCTGCTGCACGTCCTAAAGAAGCAAACGCAAGAAGAAAACGCACGAAATGCTCCAAGACATCCCACACTCCCAGCAGCAGCCGCGAGAACACAGAATAGGGGAATCTCGAAAGCCGCGAGAGAGCAACGGGCAGGACGAGGCAAGGCCCGGGATAATTGAATCACAGTGCATGCACCGCTAGGTGGAGCAAAAGGAAGCCGCAATCGCAGAAACAGCCCTCCAGTGCCTGGCAGAAAAACGACCGCCTCAGAAGCGTTGCCAGAAGCGTTGCCAGCGGCGCATAAAAGCCGGAAGCAAGCAGCTTTGCAGGTGACAGGGAGATATACTCGCAGAGGGAGGTAGATAACCTCGCAGGAGCTTGGAAAGAAGCGACAAATGCATCGGCAAGAAGGGAGCGTGAGCATTCGGAGCTTTCCGTGGAGCAGACTCAGTGGGAGCAAGGGGACGGAGAGACGGTGGCACCACCAAAGGGAAGCGCAGCGCTGGTGTAGAGAGCGGCACGGCATGACCAGGCAGCGAGGCAGCGGCACCTCGCCGTAAGGGAGAGGCCCTGCAAGACTGCGCAAAGCAGCTCTCTACGAACTAACCCAGAGAAAGTTGATTGTGGGATGCCGGGAGACGCCAGCATTTGCAAGGAGGCATGTAGATGCCTTGGAAACATCCATATGCCCGAGTGCCACTGCTGGGAAGTCCTGAGAACACGAAGAAACAGCGCAGAGCCATAAAAGAGGCAATCGATGCATGCATCAGATGCATGCATCCGCTGTAGGCGGCGAGAAAACCGCGGCAGATGAGGCCGTGCTAGCAAAACAAGGCGCAGAGAGGCGCAGTAGGGGGGACAGCTTTCGAGAGGGAGCGTGCGTGGCAGGGCGAGAAGCTACAGCACGCAAGGCACAGCAACACGCCTTTCGACGGATATTCGCGTCGGTGGTGTCCTATGGCCAAAGCCAAACCCCACGGATTCGCACATGCACAGACACTAGCTGCGCGGGGAGGCTCGTGACACGGGAAAGAAGGGGGAGCGAAGAGACGATTCTGCGTAGCAGGGGAAGAGGGGATCTTGACGCACCTGCTGCAAGGTGGGGAGCAGCTGCAGCAGCTGCTCGGAAGGGGCGTCTCCTCGAGAGACGAAGAAGACGGCCTTTGGCCCCCTCTCACCACAGAAGGCGCTATACGCCCCAGGACCTTCAAGTTCTGCCATTGTTTCTAACGGGAACGAGAAAAGTCTCAAGATACCTCCTGTTTCTCGTTGCGCCTATTCCGACGAAAGGCTCTTTGGTGCCGCCTTCACAGCGTCGCCTAAAATGCAAACGAGTCTGTCTGTCTGTCTCTTTCTCTCGCTCTCTTCCTGCGAACGTCGCACGCATCAAGCACGATGCCAGAAGGTGCTACACCCATCCACCCCCTGGCGCTCTAGCAGAGCCGTGTAGGCTTCTCACGCGGTGCAGCTTTGGTGCGTCTCTCCGCAGCCACGCAGCAGAAGCAGTATCATAAATAGAGCCGATTTTTGCTGCTTGGCGGTTCGAGTTGTGAGGCGCAGCGGCAGGCACGCCTGGGATGCGGAGGGCTGTGCCACCATCTCACTCTGGGGGAACCTCTCAAGCTGCGTGGCTGCCGAATTCTAAGCGGTGCTACGCGAGGCGGCCCCTGAAAGTGGGCACCAAGGGTCTTGTGGCTGCGTGGATGGCACTGCCTGCGTCTATATAGGTGCGTACAAGTGCGTAGAAGGCGTGTTTTTCCTCTCTCTTTCTCTCTGTCTCTCACTCTGTAGGGGAGTCGAGGTGTCTGCCCTCTGCCCGGCGATGCTTGTGCCCTCAAGACGCGTTCGGCAAGGAAAGTCTGAGAGAGATGGCAAGGGAGAAGCGTTTTCCGCGCCGCAGAAGTTGAGAGAAACGCCGCAAGAGGCAGCACCCCACACAACGCTGTAGTCGATTGGACTGGACGTGCCGCTCTCTCGAGGGAGGGTCTGGAGAAGGCGAGGTGCTGCGGGAGATGAAAAAAGCACAGACTCATGAATCTAGCAATAAGGCCGCCGCACGGAGGAAGCAGGCTCGCACACGAAGGCTGCAGTTTTGGCCGCTGCTTATGTCACCGTGTCTTCGAAAAGGACGGTGCAAGAGCAGCACGACCCCTGCTGGCTGAGGATGGCAGCACAGCCCCGTAGGATTTCCCACCTGCCCTCTGGTGAGTCCTTTGTTCCCGTCTGCCTTCTCCGCTGTGTAAATCGTCGACGCTTCGCGATCCTCGGGTGTTTTTTCACCCCAAATCCCCGAACTTTTGGCCTCAAGGATTGCACTGGACGGTTGTTGTCGTTTCGCGGAGCAGCGCGCAGTGGCGGTCCGAGGCTCCCGTGCTGGGGCTTGTAACCCTCGTTGGACGCCTCCTTCCCGACACTTCCAGCGTGTGGCGTTGGGAATTCTTTGGTTTTTGCTGTCTAATCGTTTAGCGAGACGGTGGTGGCCGTCCAACGCGCAGAATGCGGAGACGCAGTCCTTCGATGATCATGCGAATCGGCGCTGTTGGGACTACTCTTCTGCAGAGGCTCCCCGGGGTCTTGATTCTCTGCAGCTTTGGCGTTTTCTGCGGTGTACTGGCATTAACCGAAAAGACCACCAGTGATGCTGTCAATACACCTGCAGGGGCAGTGCCATCCTCTGCATCGCCCCTGGCGAACAGCGCGCCGCTCCCGGGACTGCTCGAGGATTCCGATGCCGCAGATGCAGAATCTGAAATCTGCACGCAGCACCTCAGGGATGCAGTCAATGCAGCCATTTCTCACGTCATTGGTGCGCAAACTTGCAGAGCATGCTGGATGGATGGCCTGCCAAACTACTGCGGCGAATATGCCCGAAAATGCTGACGCTTCTCCTCGCGGGGAGCCCCCGAGGAGAAACATGCATGTGTGCCGCTTATAGAGAGGTGCTGCGCATGAATATTCCGTAGTGTGACAAAACGCATTCATACTAAGAACCGGTCTAAGATCGCATAATTGCATGCCCGCGCAGTGCATGCAAGTATGTGTATTTCCATCAAATGTGCACATACGGTCTTTCTCACTGCCTGCAGGTTCTCGAGAGCTGACGGACTACCTTCTACCCCTATGGGAACTGGATAATTTCTACGTTCCAGTGTTGGTGTGCGGTCCCACTGTGCCCCCTCCAGCACCCTCTGTCTGGGGCATGCCTGCGCCTGTCGGAGGCCACTCCTCACTCCCTTGGCCTAAGAGAAACAGCCTCCTCCCCGATGATCTGCTGCAACAGATCCTCCTAACGGGCACTGTGCGAGTAGCGGGAATAGGCAGGACAGACGAGGAGGGCTTTTTGAAATCTAACAAGGGTGCAGCTGGAAACTTCACAGAAAATCCCGCCACAGGTCAGCAGTACCACACCCTCCATCGAAGAGGGATGGGCTTCGTCATCCCTCTTTCTCTACTGCGCTGCATTCGAGGCTGCATGCATGCGGGTTCTGTGGAGCTGCCCCGCAATTTCGTGTGTGCCCCTGTGTCGTTGGCTCACCACCATCTACGTATTCAGGCAAGGGGCAGCGCCACGAGTGCTTCACAGGGAGGACTCAGGGGGAGTTCAAAAGATTTGCAGCTCCTGATACATCATGAAGCACGTGCACCTATTTCTCGAGTGTCTATTCGACCCTCTTCGTAGATACGGGATCCTATTTGTATTGAGCTATTTATGCATTGCCATGAATGCAGTGTGAATACTTCGTATTTCATGTTTGTCGCTTCTTCTGAATTCAATACACATACATACTTGCATGAGCGCATCATAATTTCTAGTTTGATGTGGCATTCCGAAAGGCGCGCGTGTCGAGCGCACGCCACGAGCTCTACGCTCGAAGCGGCGCTGGCTTGTTGACAGCGTCCCCTTGCCGCTTTTCTCGCTGCCTCCTGTAGGCTGCGGCTGGGGGCAGTTCTACTACGGGAGGCCTCTTGTATCCGTATCCCCGATGTCAGCCCGCAGTCAGCTGTGCGGTGTTTCTTTCTCGCAGGCTTCTTTCCTGATTATCTCAGGAGTATTTGGAAAGTCATATCCAGGCGTTATGGTGTGAATGTAACCGTGACATACCTGTTTTACAACAGTGTAGAGGAGGCGCAGGCCGCTGTGGCAGTGGGAGATGCCGATATGACGGATATATACTTTTTGTTAGCTCATAAGAATAGCCAAACAGTCACCAAGGATTCCGTTGCGTTCAATACTGCCAATCCCCTCTCCTTTCTCTACATGACGTGCCCTGTCGTGGGAGCCGTTCTTTTCACGTACACGAGAGACGGGGAGACCGATACATTTGGAGGCCTCATAGATGCCCTAACCAGCGCCTACAACGAAGGTGAGCAGCCTTCGCTATGCCTCGGATGAGCGTCCTTAGTGGGAACCGCCACCTTTTCTTGTGCGCTCTTGAGAGTTGGACGGCTGGCGAAGGCCGCTAATTCGCCGTCATGCTTGTCGCTTCCCGTTCTCGCACGTCTGCCGAGTCTCTCGCCTCCTGTTTAGCGTGTGGCCGCCTCTCCGAAGCCGAGGCTGCGTCTTGTGAAGCCGTCTTGCTAAGTGCAACTGCCCGAGGAGTGTCTGCTTCCTCCCTTCCTCGCTCTCGTGCGTACAGAGTCCGGCAAAAATATCGCCGTCGTGGTGTCTACAGAGGAGCTGCGCTCCGCCGTCGAGCCCATCCTCCCGGACTGGACGCTTATACATGTGGTCGATAGTAGTGAGATACATGCACGCCCCTCCTCCATTGCACGCGGACTCCATCTCTCCCGACACCCCCAGCATGCCTCGTGGCACTTGCCACTGGCGGCAGCGCGGGGAGATTCTTTGTGTTCAGTGTAGTTCTGCGCACATCTCGCCAAATGCTGTCTACTGCGCGCATTTCCTTTGCTCCCTTACCCTTGTTTGCTCTGCACACCCGACGGCAATTCGTTCAAGTCACCTCTGCCGCCTTTTCCCGCGCGCTGTCTGTACTGTGCAGTGGCCTCGGCCCTCAATGCAGTTGCCAAGGGCGAAGCCTTTGCCGCTTTTGCTCTGGGCCCCTCTGGAATCGTACCGCCTCCCCCTGGGGTGTCGCTAAGGGAAGGCATTGACGTCATTCTGGCCAAAGGAAGCTGGATCCGGAGGAGTCGCGGCGTCAAATGCTTGACAAGGGAGCACTTCAACGACCTTAGAGAATGAACTAGATGCTGACAAACGAACCCCTTCGCTAGTCTGCGTTTCTGGCGGAGGCCAGCTAGCTTGGTCTAACCGCAGACACGGCCGAACTAGAACAACAGCACGGCTAGTGACACATCAGACACACCAGATGCACTGGCGGCAGTTCCGCTTGATGTAGCTCTCTAATGTCAGCACTGACATCGATTGCTGGTGGAGTGCAGGATATGCATATTTAGAGGCCTAGTGCGCCTGCCAAAGGGCAGGGTATACCTGTCCGACCTATTTCGTTTCTCCTTGTATCCTGTTCGCGGGCTGCAGCAGTTTGTCGCCCTGCAGCAACGGATGCATTCCCAAGGTTACCCCTCTTTGCATATACTCTCATTTTCGTCGTATCTTTCCGCAACAGCGATATCAGCCACGTGTTCAAGCCGAGTTGCAGCGCCGTCTAAGTAGGCATGCAGCTGCGCTACTCCATCCGCTTATGAAAACATCATACGTATGCTGTTTTGTGCCGTGTAGCGAAAAAAGACAGTCCTTGCAGGCGCGGGGTTGTTGCAACTACACTGTATCGAGTTGCAGCATTTCTCATCTAGGCCACATACAGCAGGAGAACCCTTGTTGGATTCTCTGTAATTGTATATATATATGTACATGTACATGCCCTTTCTCTTACGGGACCTCCTCCCCAGCGGCTTCCCTCAGCTGGCGGCTGGCCGCAGCCGCCAGCTGCACTAACCGCATGACACCTTGTGATTGCTGTTGCTGCTGCTGCAGCATTTGCTGCTGCTGATGCCCGCCCTCCAAGCAGTGCCAGCTAGGCTCCGGTGTAACCCCGCCGTTCCACACCGGCAGCAGCTGCTGCTGCACGTGCTGCTGCTGCTGATTGGCAAACTTGGTAGCAATTCGAGGTTCATGAGGCCACTGGAGGGCAGGGGCAGCCGGCATGAGCGGCACTCCTGCAGCCTTCTCCTTAGCCGCAGACTTTTCCCCCCCCTTTGGCGGCAAATCCACCACTTGCTGCTGCTTCTGCCCTCCTGCATGCATATGCTCAAGAAGCGTCAGCAACGCTGGGTGCCCCGGCGAGGTGTCCAGACACCCCAAGGGGGGCACGCCTGAGGGCTGCCTCAGCTCCCACGCACAGCGGTGCTGCTTTCGCAGCACATGCTGATGCGCCGTTGGCTGCTGCTGCTTCGCATGTTGCAGAAGACGACGCTCTGTGGCACACGCATGTCTAGGAACGAAGGCGAAGGGATAAGACTGCTGCTGCTGCCTCTCCCCCTCCTCCTGGGGACCACTGCACGCGACAGGTGCACTGCACGGCCTGCTGCTGCAGCATCGACTCGGCAGATCTTGCAGGGCGTTTCGTTCGTGGCGTGCCTGGCTCTGCAGCCGCAGGGGAGTCTGCAGTTGTTTGGCCTTTACACTAAGAGTGTCATCGTTGCAGCGCTGGGTGTTCGCAGCAGCAGAGTTCGCTGCGCAAGAGCAATGCCGCCGATAAAAGACATGGGCTTGCTGGTGCTGCTGTTGGGGGTGCTGCAGTTGCCGTTGCCGAATGCTCGCGCTGCGGCAGTCATCATGAGCGCAGCAGCCTACGGTCCGCGGAACGGCAGCCGCTGCCAGCGGAGGCTGCTGCTGCTGCAAGAGTGCTGCAGACTCCCAGCAGCGGTGGGGGCAAGGCGGCAGCACCGAGGTCGCTGCATGCGGCCTGCATGGACCGTCGGAATGCTGCTGAAGCTGCTGCTGCTGCAAGTCTCTGCTGCTGGATGCAGGAGCGCAGGAAGGCGGAGACGCGCAATCGCCCTCAGCGCTGCCTTGAGCCGCGACTGCCGCAGCTTCTGAGGTTATCGGCATCTTGGAGGGGAGGCGTGCCGACCCTACAGCGCAGGTGCTACTGCTGCTGCTGCTGCTTTCTGCTGCTGCTGCGGTCGGATGCAGCAACACAATGTGCTTCCTATGGCAGTGCGGGAGATGCTGTCTGGCCTGTACGCCTCCCGACTGTTGCGGAACTGAGGCAGCACCGACAAACGATTGCATCCCGATCTCCTTTCTAGAAGCAGCCGTAATGGCTAGACCGCTCCTCCTCCGTTCCTGCAGTTGCTGTTGCTGTTGCAGTTGCTGTTGCTGTTGCTGTTGCTGTTGCTGTTGCTGTTGCTGTTGCAGTCGCTGTTGCTGTTGCAGTCGCTGTTGCTGTTGCTGCAGCTGCTGCTGTTGCTGCAGTTGCGCACAACAGCAGGCAGCTGCAGGAGGAGTAATCGCAGCAGCGATCGCAGCGCCGCTGCTGGGGGCAGCCGGATTGAAGGACGGCGTCAGACGAGCTCTTCTACAGTATCCTTGCTGGTGCACGTATGTATGGTCATTCATCACCACTTCAGCAGCAGCAGCAGCGTTTCCACCTTCTCCAGCTGGTGTTGGTGCTGCTGCTGCTCGCGTTTGCTGCTGCAGAAGCCCCCCTTCTCGCGCAGCAGCAGCATCAGCTGCTGAGTGGGAGGGCAGCAGCAGCACGGAGCATGGCGTCTCTTCTGCGCCTTCGACCGGCGAAAAAGCCTCAAGACTCCTCAAGGAGCCTGTAGACATACGGCGTCCTCTCAACAGGGGGGGGGATGCAGCGGCAGCATCTGCAGTTGCAGTTGCAGTTGCAGCGCTAGGAGAAGTATGGGTGTTAGCCGCTCGTACTGCCCCCCCAGCGGCTTCCTGCAGGTTAAGGTGATGATGGGCAGCACTGCACCTGCAGCCTTTCCCATCACGAATTGTTTCCTTTTGCGCAGGGAGGTCATCAGCCTGTGACTGCTTGCTTCCCTCTTTACACGCAGAGCGCTCCTTCATGTCGGCACACAGCGTGGCTGCATCCGATGCTGCAGTTTCTTGACAGCAGCAGAAGCACATGCATGCAGGGGGACGCCCTCCTTGATGGCTGAACTCGTGCTGCTCATTCCGCTGCTCTTTCTGAGCACTCAAAGGCCTTTGCTGCTGCATCCTTAAGGCAAGCTCTTGCTGGGGGAACGTCTTAAAGAAACCATACGATCGATTCTCATGATGCAGAGACAGCATGTGATCAGCTACCACTGCACGGGCTGTGGGGGTTGCTGCGGCTCCTGGTGCTGCTGCAGCTGTAGCTACAGATTGCGGATTTACGCTTCTCACCCCTCCTTTTCCATTGCCGACTGCTGCTGCAACTCCTGGTGCTGCTGCAGCTGTAGCTACAGATTGCGGATTTACGCTTCTCACCCCTCCCTTTACATTGCCGACTGCTGCTGCAACTCCTGGTGCTGCTGCAGCTGTAGCTACAGATTGCGGATTTACGCTTCTCACCCCTCCTTTTCCATTGCCGACTGCTGCTGCGGCTCCTGGTGCTGCTGCAGCTGTAGCTACAGATTGCGGATTTACGCTTCTCACCCCTCCCTTTACATTGCCGACTGCTGCTGCAACTCCTGGTGCTGCTGCAGCTGTAGCTACAGATTGCGGATTTACGCTTCTCACCCCTCCCTTTCCATTGCCGACTGCTGCTGCGGCTCCTGGTGCTGCTGCAGAAGGTGCTGCATGCAGACGTCTGTTTTGCGGTGTGGACGCATTAATGCGAGCAGCCGCGATCCGTAGAGTGGCAGAAGTAACCGAGGGCGCAGGATTCGAGCTTCGCCTCCGTATAGGACTGCTGCTGCAGCCGGCAAAGTTGCTGTATCGTCTGCTGCTGTGCATGCTGTACATGTTCTCCACGTTCGTGCTGCAGTTGCTGCTGCTGCAGCGGGGCGTGCAGGCGTTGCGGCAGCTACTGCAGACGACGCCTCGAGCGACATTTAACTGCGCTTTAGATAAGTGTGCAGCAGCACCATTCAACATGGTGGTAGCGACACGCTGCTGCTGCTGCTGCTGCCGCTGCTGCTGCTGCTGCTGCTGCTGCCGTTGGGGTTCCAAGACTGCTGCAAGCGCCTTGCAGCGCACCAGCGGCGATGTCATCCTGGAAGCTGCTTTGATGTCGGTTGCTTTTAAAGGCGCGGAAGCAGCGGCAGCCGCTTGGAGCGCTCCTGCTGCACTCGCATGATGGGCGTCCAAAGACGCATGCCCCCTCGCCGATTCGGAAGTATTTACTTCTTTCTCGGTTTCATCTAGCAACGCCTCCCACAGACTAGGAGCTGCAACGGTGCCTGCGTCATCCGCAACAGTACATGATGCTTCCATGCACGCGCGCTGCTGCTGCTTTTGCTGCTGCTGCTGCTGCTGCCGACGATGATGATGATGGGGGTGTCTGTTTGACCCCGCAGAGACTCTCTCGCCGCCGTCCGACGGCGCTGGAGGCTCTTGCTGGTGCCTCTTTGGAGGCTGCTGCTTTTGCTGCTGCTTTTGCTGCTGCTTTTGCTGCTGCTCTGCGCGGAGGTCGGAGACAAATTGGAGGTGCCGCTGCAGCCGAGACACCATCAGCGATCGAGGCGATACATTTGTAGAGGCTTCGCGGTGCTGGGTTTGCCAGCCGGGATAATACTGGTGCTGCGCTGTAGACTGCTGCTGCAGTTTTGTGGCGTCTCTTGCCGTGAGCTGCTGCTCTCCGCCTGGCACTGGCGAGATTTCCCGCTGCCCCCCTGGCTGCCGCAGGGGAACGGCTTCAAGGTGCTGCAGCAGCCACTCTTGCAACTGCAGCTCCTCGTGTACATTCATCTGACGCCGAGGCTGGAAATGCTTTTCCGGCTTTTAGTGCTGCGATTCGAGCAGCGGGTAGCGGATCGCATGCGGAGAGCGAGCTGGGCGCCCTCCCTCCGTGCCGCTGTTTTTGGTTCTTCGGAAGCTGCGGCGCCTCCAGCTTGAAAAATGTCCTTTTAATCGACAAACGGCCTCGAAGGCACCTGCATGCGGCAGCAGCTGCAGCAGGCGCCTCTGCTGCCGACTGCAGCGGCAGCAGAGGCTGGTGCCTGTCTTGCTGCACCTGCTGCGAAAGCAGCTGCATAAGGCAATTCCAGGATGAGCGGTCGCGCTTAGAGTGCGTTTGCATGATTTCTAAGAAGGAGTGCACCCCGTACAAGTGGTAGAGTTTCCAGAAACCGCAGCCTCTGCTGCTGTTTCTGGAGGCGGTGTGTTTCCGGGGGGGCTGTGCTGTCGTCCGCGTGGCTTCGAGCAGCCGCCATCGCTTTGCAGCGACGCCGCGTGCATGTGTTGCCACTCAAAGCCTGGAGTCTATTTCTTTGGGAATTCGCTCAATCTGCAGCTGCACAGCAGATCCAGCAGCAGACCGCTTTCCGTCACCGTGTTCCCCCCGAGTCTCCCGCTGCCATACAGGCGCATGCAGCTACCACCGTCTGCCCCCTCCCTCAAACAGCGCTCTGCTCCCGAAATTTTCGAGCCGTGAAAACTGTCCTGCCGCTGCATCAGGGAAGGGCACAAAAGAAGCAGCAGCAGCAGCAGCAGCTGCTGCCGCCTCACCCGCCCCTCTGTCCGTACGGCCTCTCTCCACCAACTGCAAGGGAAGCCGAATCTCGATATTGCTGTAGATATCCCAGACCTCCGTTTCGTGCTCGAGAGGTGGCAGCAGCAGCAGCAGCAGCAACACCAGCAGCCCCCCCTACTACTACTATAACCATCATCATCAGTGTGCCTCTTGTCTCTCTCTCTCTCACACACACACACAGACCCTCCCCACCACCTGCTTGCCTCGTCTAGCGCATTCCAAACTGTTGCAGCTCTCCCTTCTACTGGATACAGATAACAAACCGTTGGAGCTCCTCTCCCTTCTACTGGATACAGCTATCGCTGTAGACATCCGTAGGACCCTCCTGCGATACGGCAGCCACTGCCACCTTCCCTCCTACCTCCTTTCTTTCCCCCCTGCCTCCTTCCCTCCTCCCTCCCTGTCACTGCTCAGCGCTGCCTTTGTTTGTATAGGGTCACCTGGATCCTTGCTGCTCCCACACTGCCTGCCTCTTTATCCTCTCCTAGCTCCTCCTGCTGCCATATTCCCTTGCCACCGTCGCTCGCTTCCAGGCTTTCCTCCCTAACTAGCCCCCATAACCATGTCGAATCGGTCGAGGATCTGCGCTGCTGCTCCGCCTGGAAGACGCTATTTTTTCATGCGCCTTTCCGCCCTCCTCCCGCTTCTGACGTGTGCGCTGCCGCCGATAACTGCGGATGCGTCGCGCGGAGAAGGTGTTGCTGCTGGCGAGGAAAGGATTTCCATGACGTACAGCAAGGTCTGGCCAGAAAGAAACCCCACAGAAACATACGACTTTTATTCTCGCGTCTCAATCTGCAAACCCGACACGCCGTCGTACCTCTCGCTTTCCCTGGGAGAGGCCTTGAGGGGGGAGCGCCTTGTGGCTGCCCCCTACGTTTTCACCATTCCCAAGCCTGAGCAGTTCGCTGCGGCTGCTGCCAAAGCACAAGCAGAAACACAAGCAGTGCAAGCACAAGCAGTGCAAGCACAAGCAGAAACACAAGCAGAAGCAGCAGGAAGCAGCAGCAATGGGGAGGACGCCAGCACGCTTTATACGAACACCGCAGAAGACGGAGCAGCGGGTAGCGGCGGCAGTGGGCAGCGAGCTGAGAGCCTTCCCGCAACTCCCGAAGAGTTGCAGCTGCAGCGGGAGTTGTGGGATCGCCATCAACGCGAACAAAGAGAGCAGCAGGAGGCAGCGGCAGCGATCACGGAGGGGCCCTTTGAGCTCTGCCGCATGCGCTTGACAGAGGATGCGCTGGAAGAACTGCGCGTTCTTGTAGACAACGAGTTTCTGGTGGAGGCGTATGTGGACGGCATTCCCCTAGTCTTTCCTATAGGTCTTCGAAGTCTTGAGACTGTTCAGCAGCAGCAGCAGCGGCAACAGCAGCAGCAGCATTCGATGCCGCAAAAGCTGGATGCGTTTGGATTTCGTGAGGAGGATTACATGAGGGACGACGACTTCTTGGAAGATGATGACGACGTGCTGTTCACTCCGCTCCCTCGTCTGCAAGTAACCCACCACCTAGGCACCAACCTGCACTTTGTGTTTGCAGTCAACAAGGGTGTCATTGTGGCTGCTTCGGCGAGTCATGGTCCTTCCCCAGACGGCTCTGTTCCAGCTTTCACCGATATAACAGAATCGCTGGTAGGCTTCCTAGAGAGGCGCGGCTAAAACGCACAAGCGGCGAAGCCGCAAAGAAAGAAGCAGCCAGTCCAGTACCTCCCAGCACGCACTCTCCCAGCACGCACTCTCCCAGCACGCACTCTCCCAGCACGCACTCTCCCGCCCCTAGCCACAGTCTAGCAAAGCCCTCTCCTCCATGCAACACACAAAAACACGGCGGGATTCCTGCGAAAACGGAGGGAGTGCATGCCGCGGCGTCGCTCGCGAGCTTGGGAGACATGCGGCATGGCCGCATGCATGCATCCAGTCAGTCAAGCAGAAGCGGCGCGTCGCCTTGGGGCTTTGGCGGTTCAAAAATCCTGCAAACTGTCGCTGCATGCACTGCTGCCCTTGCGATGTTGGCTTCTGCGGACGGCTGCAGGAGATGGGCGCTCGCGAGGTGGTCTTCACCTACACCGTCGAGTGGCATGATCGACCTGACATCCCCACGCACCTCCGGCTGTATGGACAGCTCACGTCTCCCTTTTCGTCCTCCGTGGCAGCAGCAGCTGCATCGGCAGCCGCTGCAGGACGTCGCAAAGATGACGTGGACATACACTGGCTCGCCCTTGCAAACTCGTTCCTGTTTGTGGTGGTCGTCCTCTTCCTCCTGACGTTTATTCTCATTCGAACCCTCCGAGCCGATTTCGCACGGTACGCCTGTGGGGTGGCAGCCTAGCCGCTGCAGCAGCCTTTCGACGTCTTGCTGTCTTAGCGGCAGCTGCTGCTCGTCGACAACGCGCTGTGTCATCTGCCGCAGCCGCGTCTCCTCCCACCGCCCAGAATGCTGCCTTCTGCTCCGTAGAAGGCTGCCTTTTGCTGCGTGAAATGCTGCCTTTTGCTGCGTAGAAGGCTGCGTAGAATGCTGCCTTCTGCTCCGTAGAAAGCTGCCTTTTGCTCCGTAGAAGGCTGCCCTTTGCTGCGTGAAATGCTGCCTTTTGCTGCGTAAAATGCTGCCTTTTGCTGCGTAAAATGCTGCCTTTTGCTGCGTAGAATGCTGCCTTCTGTTCAGGGTCTTGTTGCCAGCGGACGAGGAAGTAGCCGAGCTGACTTTAGAGGAGACTGGTAAGGGCAAGGCACACCCCCCCCCCTCCTTGTCTTCTTGGAGGAGGCTGGCTGCTCTCGAAAGGCTGTAGCTTCTGTCAGCCTCGTTACACCCTGCCCGCTGCCTCTGCGTCGGAAGGCGTGGTTGTTAGGCATTGCGACTTTTTTTTGCGTCTGTTGCCTTGCGCGGCACCCAACGAAGACGACCCGCGCAAAAGGCGAAAGCAGCCCTATTCCTTTGCCAGCGAGAGCAAGCCTCTATGTTCTTGACGCATGTTGTGCTTTCTTTTCCCCTTGGCATTCCACGCGGATGAGGCTTCGGAGGGAAGGAGAGTACTCCCCGCATCCGGAGGCAGACAGCCATGCAGTATCTGTTCTAGCTTTTCCTGCGCATCGCGAAGAGCTTGGGTTGGCCTCGTTCTGCTTGCCTGCCTCTCTTCTCAGGCTGGAAACTGCTGCATGCGGATGTCTTCAGAGCACCTGCCCACCGCAACGTGCTCTGCGTCTTCTTAGGAAGCGGCTTGCAGCTGCTGCTTGTCTGCAGTCTCTCAGTCTCGGCTCTCTCGTTCTCGGCACTTTTCCCGCGAGCATCCTTCCTCTCCTTCATGCTCATTGGATATCTGCTCACCACGTGTATGGCATTTTTTTCCCGAAGGCGTAGGGGAGAGACCCTCAGCGTCTCTGACATCCCCCGACTCCTCTTCTCTTCTCCTGATTGAGGCTTCTTCTCTTCCTGTGTGGCGTGCGTGATGCGTGCTCTATGGCAGTCGTCTGCGGCTTTGTGAGCGTCAACTTGTACACGAAGCTGGGAGGGCAACGCTGGACCTGGAATATCGTGTCGGCATGCGGAATTTTCATGGTAAGAAGGCGATCTCTTGTGGGGAAAGGGGGGTGGGGGTAGTCTCACTAAAAGTCTAGCACGGGGGTTGGACAGAGGCGAGAGGCCAATAGAAAACGTGTCAACCTGCATTCGGACTGCTAACTCGGCACTAGTCCCCCTTATTCGCGTCGTTTTGCACACACGCCGAACAAACACACAGCTAGCTGAGCAGATGCAAGATGGGGTGAAAGAGGTGCTTCGAAAGGATAGGCGGAAGGGAAAAGGAAAAAGGGAAGGGAGAAGGGGAGACGGTCAAACATCGAAACACAAAGCGTGCGATAGGGAAGCCAGGAGGGCCTTTTGTGGGGTTTGTTGCCTTTGCAGTTTCCTGCATTCGTGGTGTGGAGTATCTTGAATGTCGCGTCTGCTCTCGCCGGATCTACAGCAGCCCTCCCCGTCAGCAGTGCGTTTGCGCTGATTGCCTGCCTCTTTTTCGGTACGATATCTTCGTCCTGTTTGCGGGGAACCTGATGCTGCAGAGATGAGGCTTGTGCTGCTCTTTTCCCCGCTGTTCAGCTCTTTTTTAATAGTCCTTTTCCGAAAACCTTTCAGCAGTCAGCCTCTGCCTCCCTGCTGCGCTCGCAGTGACAGTTCCCCTCTTGATCCTAGGGGGTGTTATAGGCCGTCGGAGAGCTCTGCAGCAGCTCGCGGCTGGAAGTGCCTTTCCTTGCAGAGTGAGTCTTACGCCAGCTTCCCCCTTGGGGTGGCGTTGGCGCACTCCCTATGCTTCGGTTTTATTTCCCTCTCACGCTTCTTCTCGCGTGGCTGTTTCCACGCCCATATCAGTCTAACACATAGGTATCCACATGTTTGTCCTCCCCTCTAATTACGTTTTTACATGTGTTTATGGATCTCTCTTTCCTTATAGGGCGGTCGTCCTGTCTGTTCACGAATTTTGTGTGTGTGTGTCTCTCTCTATCTCTCTGTTTGTCTCTGTGGATTTCTTCCCGGCTGTCTACCTATGCATGTAAATATATTTATTTGTAGAGCTCCGCCACCGTCCAGCCCCCCCCCGCCCCACATGCGTCAAAAGGCGTGCTTCGTGCACTCTTTGCCAAGCCTTCCTTTTCTGACCGCTTTTTTCGTTTTCTCTTTCGCTCGTGTCTTTTTCTGCGTCCTCTTTTATATTCCCTGTCTCCCTGCCCACCCCAATGCCCCATCGTCCGCTTGTGCTTGTTGATTCCTGCCTTCTTGCCTCGCTTCTTTTTGGTGCTTCTCTCAGACAAACAAGCTGGCAAGGGAGATTCCTCGCGTGCGATGGTATAGACGGCCACTGCTGCTCTCCGTGGTGGCTGCTGCCTTGCCTTTTAGCGGCATTTACATGGAGCTTTACTACCTGTTTCTCTCTGTCTGGACGAGCAGCACCGTATACACGTGTTCCTTCCTGCTGTTGGCAGCCTTGCTGCTGGTGCTGGCTGTTGCGGCGGTGTCTGTACTCCTCACTTATTTGCATCTCAATGCCGAGGATCACAGGTGGCACTGGCCTGCCTTCTGGAGTGGCGGGTAAGCAGCTGCTTCTTTTCCCGACTTTTCATTGGTTGTTGATGTGTTTCGCTAGAGTGACTTGCCGCGAAAACGCGGCGTTCCGCTACTTGCTTGCTAACCAGCATCCCGCCTGCTGTACATCCCTTACTCCCTCGCGCCTCCCCTCTACCAGTCTATGCAACTACCAACACTAGTAGATCCTCTCTCACTATTTCTGTCTCGCTCTCTCTCGCTGTTTCTCTCTGTCTCACTCTCCCTCGCTGTCTCTCTCTGTCTCCCTCTCGCTCTCCCTCGCTGTCTCTCGCTCTCTGTCTCACTCTCCCTCGCTGTCTCTCGCTCTCTGTCTCACTCTCCCTCGCTGTCTCTCTCTCTCTGTCTCACTCTCCCTCGCTGTCTCTCTCTCTCTGTCTCTCCCTCTCTGCCTCACTCTCCCTCGCTGTCTCTCTCTCTGTCTCACTCTCCCTCGCTGTCTCGCTCGTGCGCTTGCTGCGCGCTGCCAACCAGCGTCTCCAAAGCCCCCCTGCCTGCCAGCCTCATCCGCAGAGTCTGCATTTCCCGCTATATCTGCCGTGTGTTGTGTATTTATATTCCTTCTGCTGCAGGAGCGTAGCTCTGTACTTCCTGCTTCACTGCGCGTTGTACTTTGTCAACTCCCCAATGACGGGAACGATCCAAATTTTGCACTTCACCCTCTACTCCTTGTTGCTGGCTTGGGGTCTTTGCCTTTCCCTCGGCTGCGTCTCCTACTTTGCGTCCTCGCTCTTCATTAAGGCTGTGTACAGCAGAATCAAGGCCGAGTGAGCCGCTGTACACGCTCTTCAATTGTGCATGCTCACGCACACAGCCAGCCAGCCCCACCCAGCGGCAGCAGCACTAGCAGCAGCACAAGCACTAGCAGCAGTACAAGCACTAGCAGCAGAAGCAACGAGGCGAGAGGGCGTCCTGCTATTCTCGGCGTGGAGGGGCCTCTTCGCTCTGCATTCAAAGGTCTCCCCTTGCATTTAGCAGCGATGTTTTGCTGAGCGTATGCTCTGGCTAGCAAGCGTCTACCCAGTCAGAGTTTTGTCTCTGACTGCACGCAGCCAGGCTCACGGCATCCGCCGCCTCTTGTAGAGGAGAGAGAGTCTCGCGCTAGGCGGTGCGGCTTGCAAATTTCATGCTGCGCATTAACGATGCCCTTTTCGATCAGCAGACTCCGCAGGGAAGGGAGGGAGAGAGGGAGGCAAGGAAGGGGAGGCCAGAAGGGCCCCCTCCCTCCCGCCAGGAAGTCTAGGCAAATCAGCATGTCGAAAAAAAGGGATTGAGTTACAAAGGAAGCGGAACGTAAAGGGCAGGGAGAAGGGGGCGTCTCTGCCAGCAACGCCTCGGCACAGATGCCTCCCTAAAACTTGAAGATCTTTTTCTTGTTACGCAGGACGGGGAGGAATTCCTTCCTCCAGGTGATTGGACCGGGCAAATCGGAGAAGCGCCGCTCGTACCGCCAGTCAGGAGCCAGCAGGCTCTGTACTTCTGCAACAAACAGCCAATCACAGAAGAAGGGGAAAAAGCACTGAAGGCAGCGACGGTAGCGTGCCTCAAGGCTTCCCTTCTGTACGCAGGCAGGCGGCAGCGCGGGAAAGAGGCAGGCAGGCCCAGGAATGAAAGGAAAAGAGAGGACGCTCAAGCCAATGCCTTTGCAAACCCGTACAGAATTTTAGATCGAGACAGACAGAGAAAGAGAGAGACAGAGAGAGAGAGACAGAGAGAGAGAGAGACAGACAGAGAGAGACAGACAGAGAGAGAGAGACAGAGAAAAAGAAAGATCCAAGAAGAGCTACTAGCTGGAGCGAGGGGCAACAGCGCGCGTGTTATGGTGGGTAACAATTGATAGACGGGGGGGGGGAAAGAAAACACCTGAAGAAGTGTAGTGGGCAAGAATCTAAAGGCAGCACTACTCCACCATCCCTTCCCCGACGGCCAGGAAAATGTGCAGGCGTAAATCAGAATCGAAAGGGTGCAGAGAACGAGGGAGAGGCATCAGATATTAACACGGGCGGGATTGGCAATGAAGGAGAACACACAAAGCTGCCCTACCGTGCCGCAGGGGCTTTAGCAGTATAAGAAGCTCTTCGTGCTTGCTTTTGGCTGTCTCCAATTGCTGCTGCCAGGCGAGGCACGCCAAGCTGCTGCGGCTGCGTTGTTGTTGCTCCTGCTGCCTTTGCTGTAGCCTTATCTTTTGCTGCAACTGCAGCATGTGCCGCTCCAACTCGTGCCGTTGCAGTTCGAGGGCTTCGCGCTTTTGCTGTTGCTGCAGCAGGCGTTGCGCGAAGAGACACTGCTCGTGAATAGCCCGCCTAGACAAGACTGTCAGGATCCGTTTCATGCTCAGCTTTACCTGCGTCACAAAAGCGCCTACAGCCTCTTAACCCGCGCATCCTGAAGTGCAGGAAGTGGGGATGGGGAAGGGCAACACACTCCTCCTCCGGCGTCTGCCACAGTGCTGCTCCACAAGGGTCGCTACATGAGGAGGCGTTGTCTCAAATACCTTCTTGAGTCTCTCTGGGTGCTTCATTTGCGTCTTAGCCTGCCAGGCGGCCCAGCGTTCCCCGAGCAAAAGGTTTTTTTCCTTCAGCAACACAAACCTGAAGGAGGCAGGGGAACAGCATGCACGACAGATGGACGGTGGGGGTATTGGGTGGGTGGTTATATGCAAACAAGAAAAGAGGCAGGCAGTTGGCGACGCCGCAAGCGCGGCGCCTAGCAGCAGTGCTGTGCTTGCTCTCACTCTCATGAAGCATGAGAGCGACACCAGGGGTGCCCGCGAATACACATGAGTGCCTCGAGAGGAGGCACGGACTGAAAAGACTGGAAAATGGATTTTGCGCGGACCAGAGTTTGTGCAGATCGTCGAAGGATTTCTGACGGAGCAGCCGCGCAGGCCATGCATCTCCAGCGACTGCGAGTGAGTTTTTGACAGAGGCTGGCAAGGATGGATCTAAGTAACCTCCTGAAACAAGCAACCGACAGGGAGGCGGACGGAAGCACGGGCAGGCAGAGGATGGCCTTTCACGCAACGAACGTGTTTTTCAGAAACAGCAGGGTGTTCGCCTACGGAGTGCCTACCCTTCCACAGCTCTTCGATTCCCCGCATAGGCGGTCCGGTGGGGTTGCAAGCCACCGGAGCGACGCAGCGCCGCAAGGCGTGAAGCACTCCAGACATTTTTCGAGCAGGCGGAGTGGTGGAGTCGGCTGCGTGCAGCTGCTGCAGCACCTCGAGTCAGCTGAAGGCCGTTGGAGGTGGGCGTGTATGAAAGCACGGGAGCCAAAAGGCTGCGGAGGCAGCAGTTTTTTTTCGCTGCGTGAGATGTGGCAGCTGCGCGCGTGTTGCTGACGGCGGTGTCACTTCTAAACACCTCCAGTGCTGCGGAGCCATCCGGCAGTCGCGAGGATACCAGCAGTAGGCCTCAGTGGTGATCGCATAGGTGTGGCTCCTGCTGCTGCCGCCCTCTAGGCGCTACCGCTGCGGCAGAAAGCTGAGGGGTGTGCTAGAAAGCAGGCACAAAAGTATCGCTTCCGAGGGGAGGCAGTGGAGCGCGTGGTGCCGGTGCTGCTGCTGCTGTCGCTCCTGTACAGAACATGCAACAGCAGCGGGAGCAGCGCCACCGCTCTGCCGATGAGGGGTCTCTGAGAAGAATTGACGGTTACAGACAGAAGGAAGAGAAGGGGGGTGATTCACATGCACCTAACAAATACAGATGCCGAAGCTACCGCCATGGAAGGTCTCCTATCCCTGATGCTGCTGCTACTGCTGCTGCCGTTTTTTAGCGGCTGCCGCCGTCATCATGACGGTGGCTACCCGTCTGCCTGCGATCTGCCGCTAAGCGAGCGGCAGAAAAGGCAGTCTTCGCCGAAAAATTAATCGAGTGTAATTTTTACGCCCGATACACACACTTAAATGACCGCGTGTGGACACCGAAAGGCTGGTTTGCTCCTTCAGCGCTCCCTCGCGTTGTGTCTGCGTCCCCGCTTGCTGCTGCTGCTAGAACAACAGCGGCATCCGTTTTAGAACCTTATTGTTTTCAGCCGGTCTTCACAGCGCTGCCGTTGGCCGCCCTCTTGGGCAGCCCCCCTGCTGTTCTTATAGGAGCATCCAGCGTGTTTTAGGCACCACCACACCATTCGACGCAGCGGCAGTAGCGGCAGGCGCTGCAGCGGCTGTTTTTCGCGAGCTCCAAGCGGCTGCAACAGAGCAGTACTTACAGCATCAAGACAGCGGCAGGGAGGGGACATGCTAATCTGTGTGTAGGAGGGGGCTGCCCACGATTTCCACGCCCACGCGTCCCCTGCTCGCCTGTTGCCTTCTTGCTCCGTCGCTGCAACAGCAAGAATAGCAGCTGCAGGATCTGATGCACCGCTGGTAATGGCGGCTCTGCGGGCCTCTGCAGCGCCGTTTGAAGGCCAGAAGGAGCTGTGGCGAACATACACCCCCAGCAGCAGCATTCACACACGCCATCAGCAGCAGCATCACCAGCAGCAGCAGCAGCATCACCAGCAGCATAATCAGCAGCAGCAGCCATGTCTTAAAGTTTCTCCCGCGATTGCAGCTCGGTGCGCTGCTTTCGAACGCGCGTCCACAGGAGGAGTTGCTGCCTCCTGCAGCGCAACTTCTGCTGTTTGTTCGCAGCGCCCTTCTCGTGTTGGAGGGTTCCTTACTGGGGATGTCGGGGAACATCCGAATCTCGGGGAGGTAGCTGCGGCTGCTGCATGCGCTTCGTCTGATGCACCGCTTCTTCCAGAGCGCCGTTCGTCTTCAGCACACTACCCGCATAGCGGCCAGAACGGCGGCGAGGACAGCACCTGTTGCAGAGACAGTCCAGCGCTTCTGCTGCAACGGCGCAAGACGCTCGACAAGACAGAGGCAGGCAGAGCTGCACTCATCTCTGGGATAGAAATCTCCCGTGCGGCCATGCCAAAGAAGCTCACGCCGATGCACCAGTGCTGCTCTGCAGAGGAGCAGCCCAAGCAGCACCAAACACAGCAAAAACTGCCGCGGCAGCAAGAAGAGATGCCAGCTGAAATCCTGTGCAGAGACAGTACCCCAAAATGCAACAGCAACAGCAACAGCACTGCTGCTGCTGCTGCCTGGCTTCTTTTGGCTCCCTGCGCAACTCAGACCGGAGGCGCAGGCGTATCCACAGCATCCGAGGCAGCAGCAGTAGCAACAGCAACTAGAGCGGGCCCCCCTTCTGGGAGCTTCTCAAGAGGAGAATCGAGGACGCAGTGCTGCACAGCTGCCGCTGCTCACGGTGAGCAGCCCGCTGCATCCGCTGTAGAGCAGGGGACGCACCAACAGAGTGGACAGCAGAAGCCGCAGCAGCATCGACGCCGCTTTCTACGAGACGATCGCAGCTGGCTGCAGCAGCAGCACACGGCGAAAGGGCTGCGAGCTGCTTCTGCTGCTTCTGCGTCTGCTTCTGCTGCTTCTGAAGAAGTTGCTTCAGCTCCGGCGTGTCTAACGGCGGCAAGACGTTCGACGGCCATAGACACGCAGGAGAGTGCTCCTTCCCAACAAGCAGCGGCGGCAGCGGCCTGTACAGCAGAATCACCAGGATTACGCAGCAGCAGCAGCAGCAGCAACTCATTCTCGCGTGACTCTGCCCTTCCCTTGCTGCCTCAAGTCAGTGAGAGAGAGGCCGTGGGGATTTCTTTTTTTTCAAAGCCACTCTTACTGCCGACTTTTTCTGTAGCCACGCCTGCAGTAGCAGCAGCAGTAAAGGCGTCTCACGCGCAACAATCGGCATCGCAGCTGGAGCTTGACGGTAAGTGGCTTCAAGTATAGGCCTTATCCGCACGACCCTGCTGCGGCTGCGTGCTGCTGCTGCTCTTGCCTTCTGCATTACGGTTGCATGTCTCCTGCCTGCCTGGGTTGCTCTTCGCATGCTTCTCTTGGAGCGCTGCTGCCCGTAGTGACACTCAGGCGTATCGTGGCCGTCATTGTGCGTTCGCAGCGAGAGCACGCGATGCTGCTAGTAGTTCCGGCGACGAAAATTGCGGCAACAGCAGAAGCAGAAGCAGCAGAGGCAGCAGCATCAGCCTAAACACTGGCAGTGTCTCCTGGTGCACGACTCCAAGGGGCACACTGCGCTCACTACCCGTGCTGCGACGTACAGTGACGTGCTCCACCTTGATGAGGGCTCCAGAATCGCGGCTTATGCGAGCTGGCTTAGCTGCTTTGTTTCCACTGTTAGCGCCTGAGTGGGTGCGAGATGCGGCTTTTCCCGAAAGGGCAGCTGGAAGTGCTGCCGCAGCTGCTGCTGCTACTGCCTGTGGAAGCAGGGAAGCGCTGCAGCAGCAGCTCCTGCAGCAGCAGCTCCAGCTGCATCCAGCAATTCGCAATCGACAGCTCGTTAAGGCCATTCTAGACGGTAAGAAGAGCATCCAACGACAACAGGCACCACCTAGAGAAACTGGAAAATTGTGTGTATACGTGTGGGTGTATGTGTGAGTATGTCTATGTGTGTGTGTATGTGTGTGTATGTCTATGTGTGTGTGTGAGTGTATCTTGAGCATGTATGCATGTAAGTTTGTATGTAGGTAGGTAGGTAGGTAGGTAGGTAGATAAGAGTGTGTGAATGCGTGTATGTATGCATATATGTATGTGTCTGCATGCATGCATGCATGGACGCCGCTGTAAACAGACTGCCGTTGCAGCGAGGAGACCCTCAAGAAGTGCCACCTGGAGATCCTCTGTTTTTGGTGGCATGTTCGGTCTGCCATTCTTTTGTCATTGTTTTTGTTGTTGTTGTTGCAGGTCAGGTGTCGCTGTTGTCGCTTGTGCCTGTTGATGCATCTCACTTGGAGCGAGACTTACATTTCTTGCTGCCGCTGCAGCAGCTGCAGCTGCGGCTGCTGAACGGCTTTGTGTTTGAGAGCTGCAGCGAATGCCATGCAGCGCATGCGGCTTGCCTGCGTTCCCTAGATCGCAGCCTTGCGCATATCCTGGGAAGGTGGCTCTTACAGCAGGCTTGTAGGGGGCCCAACGAGGCTTCAATGCGCGGATCTCAGCAAGGGGAAAACGCGGAGCAACAGCATGTGGCGGATGCTGAGGGTGGGATTTTCCCTTCAGATCCTGCTGCTCCTGCAGCGCCTCCTGCAACGTGTCTTTCCAGTGGCCTAGAGGAGTCTTTCAGCAAAAAAACTCCTCCAGGCATTGGAGCTCCTCCCGCAACAGCCCCTCCATCTGCGGCTTGGAGAGCCGCTGCACAGACAGCAACGGATGGTGGCAGCACTGCAGCAGCTGTTGCACACGGGGAGGCTGCTCGTGATGACGGCAGCGCTGAGCATGCAGCACACCGCGGCAATAGCAACAGCAGTAGCAACAGCAATAGCAGCAATAGCAACAACAACAGCAATAGCAGCAATAGCAGCAATAGCAGCAACAACAGCAATAGCAACAGCAATAGCAACAACACTACTACTACTACCACTACCACCACCTCCATCAGCAACTTCAGCGTCCGACAGAACTGCAGAAGGGCGCAGCTGGGGTATCTTCCGCTTGAAGGAGTGGAATCCTTTCTTGTTGCGCCTGCTGCCGGAGATTTCCTTGCCCCTGATGACTCCGTGCATGCTGCAGAGGCAGCCGAACTTGCAGCTGTAAGGCAGGCAGCAGCAGCAACAACAGCAACCGATGACGGCGAAGAGGAGGACGTTGGAGAGGGGTCTCACCTGACTGTTCCCGCTTTAGTACGGCACTTTGAATGCTGGAAATCTTCGTTTCGGAGCCTCGCAGTTCAAACAGGCCAGACGGCGTCTGCGGCGGCAAGCGCCGCTGCTGTCGAGACACCGCAGAGTCCTCAGTCTCCCTGCAGCAAAAAGGCCAAGTTGAAGGCTAAGCGGCGGCACTTCACTGCCCCTCCCCAAGTAAATCTCCGAGAGTCTGATGCAGCAGTAGCAGAGGCTGATGCAGCGCCGAGTGGTGACGACGCGGCCTCCTCTGTACCCCGCAGACTCCTGGAGCTGCGTCAAGAGCAACAAAAAGAGCAAGAGGACGAGCAGCCTCCCGAGGAACGGAGGGAGCAACAGCAGCAGCAGCCACAGCAGCAGCCGCAACAGCAGCAGCAGTATGGCGAAAACGAGCGCAGCAGCCATAGCGTGTACTATCCTAGCTTGTATGATCTGCCGGCTTCCCCTGACAGCGCAACAGCAGTACAGCAACGCGAACTAGGTCGACAGCTTGTCTTGCAGTTAGGAGCTCTCGTCATGGCGGGTGGAGGCAGCAGCAAGAAGTTGCTGCTGCCGCAACTAGGCCCGCTAAGAGCAGCAGCGGAAGCGCTGACTGCCTTTGACTTTTCGTCTTTTGCCGCCGTAGCACAGCAACGAGGTACTGCAGAAAGACGGACTTGCTCCAGGAGCTACAGCGGCTGCAGCGCTGCAGCTGAGACGTGGCGGGAAGGGGAAGCTGCCCGCTGTACCTATACAGCGGTCCTGTCTAGCTGCGGCAATAGTCTCTTCGGCAGCGGCAGTGAGAGGAGCTCCAGCAGCTCGCCTGTCCACGGCAGTCTCGTCAGTGTCTTGGTGCCGCAGCAGCAACCGCAGCAGCAGCAGCGACAGCGACAGCAACACCACACCCAAGGAAATTCCGACGCTGAGATGAGGCCTGCTAACTCACAAGGAGCAACAGGAGACACAGGAGCAGCAACAAACCGGGAGGTGTGGATCCGACTGTTGTGCCGCTGCCCTGTGGTCCCCTTGCAGCTTTCTTTCAGCCACTCGGCTAGGAGAGCTGATGCTGCCTGCCCGTCGCTGAGGCAGCAACAGCCTTTCGACGCAAGCAGGGGAGACGACACGTGCGCAGCAGCTTCGCCGTCTGCAGCAACAGGAGCCTCCGATGATGAACAAGCGGTGCACGACATCGCCAGCAAGAGGTCTCGATCCTGCACAGTTGACCGCAGAAGACACCCCTCGAACAACTGTGCCATCAGTAACAAGAGCAACTATGGCATTAGTAGCAACAACGACAACTATGGCATTAGTAGCAACAAGAACAACTGTGGCATTAGTAACAACGAGAACAACTGTGGCATTAGTAACAACGAGAATAACTGTGGCATTCGTAACAACGAGAACAACTGTGGCATTAGTAACAACGAGAGCAACTGTGGCATTAGTAACAACGAGAATAACGGCATTAGTAACAACGAGAATAACCTCCCTCATCATTCTCCTGCGTATAGGTCCTCTCGGAGCTCTCTGGCGGATCAGAGTGTGGCCGTTATCGCCAATAAAAATGCCGTTGCGGCTGCAGCCGCGGCTGCAGAAAATGAAAGGGGCAGCAGGGCCCACTGGTGCGAGTGCTTTGTGAGCATTCACTGCAGCAGCAGCAGCGAGGCATTCCCCACGAGCAGTGCAGCTGCGGAAGCCGCTCCTGCCCCCCCGTTTACCGCCGCACTGGACAGTAAGAGCATGCAGGAGCGGGAAGAGGGGGGAGGCGATGCACTGGGGAAGGCTGAAGCAGAGGATGGCGGGGGCTTAATGACGGCAACGGGGAAGAGCGCTACTGCTGCGATAGCTCGAGCCGCGGCTCTTGCGGCTTATTGCAGCAACAGCAACAGATGCAGGTTCACGCTTCAGGTTTGCAATCAGAGGCCAAAGAGTGACCTCTTGTTTTGGGCAATGCCAGTGGCAGACATGCGGCAAAACAGCAGCAGCCGCAGCAGCAACAACAGCAGTAGCTGGAAGGTGCTGCAGATACCTGAAACTGTGTCTCTGGAAAACTCCGTTGACGAGTTGATGGCGAAGCAAAACTTCCTTATGGAGCTAAAGAAACGTGTTCAGAAGAATCCTCAAATGCGGGATACGCTGTAGAAGATCACTATCCTAAAGTGCAGACAGGGAGGGAAGGAGTTTAGGGAGGCACGCAGGCAGGCAGCCAGACGGAGAGGAAGGGAGGTGTACAGCAGCTCCTCGTGCTTGCTGCACCCCATGCAGCTGTATCAGCCCCAATGTTTGTGGAGCACCTTACGCAGCGCATGAGAAGGCATCGTACATTTCTGCTTGTGAACGTGTCCGCTCAACCCCACTCAAGTTCCCGTTAGCACTGCCAGTAGCCGCGTGCATGTGGGGGTTAAAGCGAGCAGCCTCTGCACGCAGGAGTTGTGCGCATGCAGTCGAGGAGCCTTGCAAATTCCGTGGTGTCTCGAGTTGGGCTTATGCAGTAGAAACGTCATTTGAAAGGCATTTTTTAATCATCGGATACATCTCCTTTTAAAGAAGCGACTTCATCCGGCAACACCGACTCGGCCGCGGAGGCTCATCGATGAAATCGGCTCAGGTAAGTCTGCGGCTGGTGCCGATATATCAGTGCATCATCCGTGCAAAAACTTGCATACTCGGTGCTTCTGACGTCGTGTGTGCCCTTTTAGACTTTTGTTTTTTCTGCCTCCCCAGCCTTTTTTATTGCCCCTTTTTTAAGCAGAAGTACATGCACTGGCTTGGTTGGTACTCACTTGTGGCGTCACGGGGGCCTAACGTTAGCGCTGCAACGGGCGGCAAGTATCTGCAGCTCTTGCCTGTGCCTCTTTGTGAGCGCGACTTTGTTGCTACATACAGAGACGGCTTAGACTAGTGGCAGAGACCTATGGCAGTAGGAGCGACACCCTAAGCATCGGCCTACTTGTACGCAGGGTTGCCGCAGCACCGAGTGTGGCGGCTTAAGGGAGACCAGTGTTTCTCGAAAGCGCTTAAAGGTAGTTGGTGGGGCCCTTGGACACTCTTGATAGGCACAGCACATCACGGGGAGGCGGGAGGATGCCACTAACAAAATACAGCTTCAAGTAATGCATGAAGCTCGGCTGGCGTGTGCGGCGCACGTGTGGCCGCAGCAGCCAAGGCAGTGATGCCTGGTAATGCTGCAGTAAGGGGCATCTATATATATATATATATATATATATATATATATATATATATATATATATATATAGACGCACCACACACAAATGAGTGATGTTCTCCTATTCGGTGCTGAGGTCACTGTCGAACTCCTCAAGCACATCCTGAGCAGCACCAACACAAGGTTCTGGAACTGTCGGCGGCAAGTCGGGTAGCGGAGGCGCGGCTGCTGTCACAGCTAAATACGCAGCAGCATTTCGAGCTGTTAATGGTTCAATTAGCAGAGCTATCGCAGTAGGGCTTTCGCTAGGAAACGAGGCCCTATTTCCCTAGAACTACGTGTGCGGCTGTCGGCACAGGGCACTGCTGCATGCTGCGCGTCCTGATGAGCTATTTGTCGACACGTGTGTTGCGAACCCAACAGAACAAAAAGAATCCTTGAGCCTCACCTCTGCTGCCGCTACCGGCCGCGCTCTCTTCATGCTTCCTGTTGCCTCCTTTTGCTTCGTGTTGGGAGTCTCCCGCTGATCGGAGTGCCGTTGCTGCTGTTGCTGCAAGGCCGCCTGCCTCTGCTCTTTCTGGCGCCGCCTCTTGAGCTGCTTCGCAGTGAATGTCTCTTCGACCTCTGCAGCAAAACAGCAGGCCACCATAAGGGACCAAGCAGAAACTGATACATTACCAAAAGCAGCGCAATCGGGGGCAGACGCTGCCACACACTAGCCGTGAGATGACTAACCCTTCTTCTTGCGGTGCTCAGCTGCAGAAACTTCGTCCTTTACGCCTTCGGCCATCGCACGCTGCCTTTCCCTCGTCAGCCTCTCGCTGCAGCACATGCAGTCTTCGCAGTAGCAACGCGAAATGAGCCATGCCTTAAGGTGAGGCTTTGGTGCACCTGCAGCAGCAGCACAGAATAGGGAGCGACAGCACCACCAGCAGCGTACCTAAGAGCCAGAAGCGGCAAATGCTGCTTCTCTTGTTCTATAGGCAGCACCGCCACCCTTCCGATGGGCATGTCTCTAAGGGACAAGCGGAGTCTCTTCACCGTCTCCGCGCTTGCAGATGCTGCCGCAGCCACCTGCTGCAGCTTCTTTGAGGCACCAAATTGCTGCAGCACGACCACGAGAGTAGCAGCAGCCACACATACACACACAGACATGCAGACACACACGCACACACACACTGCCGCCGTATCAGAGCACAGCGAGAGACACCTCTGCCTGCCTGTTGTACTCCAACATCGCGCACGGAGCGCCAACTGAAGGAAGAGACGAGGAAATCACGAAAAACATACGCGCAGGCCAAGTAAGGCACGAAGCAGGCCACATGAATTTGCATTCTGAAATGCCAGACGGAGGGAGGGAGGGAGATAGGGTAGGGCGAGACAGTGCAAAAGAGAGGGTGCGACGTTTTCTCTGCTTGCGCGCACAACTCGCAGGAGAATCGAAAGGAGAGGCAGCCGCGCAATCATGCCACCCACAAGGGCATATATATATAAAACGCAGCGAACCGACAAGGACACGAAGTTTTCAAAAACAAACGCACCGAAGAAGTTTTTGTGATTTGCTTCAGAGATGCCAAAACGGGTAACAGCAACTCCGGCAACGCGGGGTGAGCCGCCAACTGTGCCAAGTGGCTTGCGAGGAGGCACACGCCGAAATCCACGAGAGACTCCAGGACCTAGGACAGCACAAAGCAGCAATATCTATCAACATCTTGCGGAGTGGTGTGCAGGAACGAATTCAAAAGGTTTGACTGCATGCAGTCAAACCTTTTGAAAGAGCAGCCAGCATCTTAGCACGAGCAGTGGCGTTCTGCTTCCTTTATCGTACATGTAAGGATTCTTGCTGCGCCGAGTCAATCTTAAGGCAGGTGTCCACATGTGCTGCCGCTGCTTGCTGCAGTCGGAGGGGTGTGGTTGCGTTATCTGCCGCCTTTGTTGTGGCGACTTTCTTCCCCTTCTTCTGCACCGAACCTGCTGCAGCGGCAGCGCTCCCGGCTGCCCCTACCGCGCTGCTGCTGCGCCTACATACGGCCGCGTGCTGTTGCAGCAGCAGCTGCAGGACGGCTAGGAGAGGGGCAGCAATGGGCACGAGGGCATCAGCAGCGACTCCAGCCCGCGCTATTGCGTCGAGAAGATTCAGGCAGAAAGGCGAACAGGAGAGCTGCTGCTGATACAACTTGACAGCAGCAGCAGCCACGGAAACGAGCGGAAACAGCAAAGGCCTCAAGAGCTCCTCCTTGTGCAAATCCAAGCAAGAAGCCCACAACGCGCAGGTAGCAACAAATGGCCAGCAAAACAAAACCAACTGCGCCTGCTCAAGCCTGTGCTTCTTCCTGTGTGCCGCCTTACTCTTCAACCCCTGCGTGGGCTTGCTCGCACTTTTTGCCACAGTGCCACCCGCAGCGAGGGCGCTGCGAACCGTGAGGGCGAGCTGCAGCCGCATGTGCACATGTGCGAATACATGCATGCACTATCCAATACACTATGACATTAATATCTACACATATACATGCATATACCTATACAGATCTATATGCACATACATTTATATGTGTAAATGTATGCAGGGAACATTTGAGAACAAAGGTGTACGGGGCAAGAGAATCGAGCTCGGAATTTTGAGACTTTAGAAGAAAGGAGGCAACGAACCTCTCTGACGGACTGATACGCAATCCTGTAGACGGTGGGAGGCGCAGCGAGCGAGAGCAGTTCCTTCGTCTCATTGAGCAGCAGCTGCATGCGACTAGCTGCTCTCCACGTCCGCCGCAGGCTGAGTCGGGCAGCTGCCCTCTGATAGGACCGCAGTAGCTGCTGTAAGAACTGCTGCTCTTTGTGGGCTGCTGCGATTGCAGCTGCTGACGGGGGTAAGCCCTCGCCTCCCTTCCGTGCCTTTCGCTTGCCGTCCGCTGTCACAGCAGCCGCTGCAGACTGCTGCAGAAGCAGAGCGCTTCGAAGCACAGCGAACGCCGCAAGTTGCTGCTGCTGCTGTTGCGAAAAGGCCCAATAGCGGCACACAGCCTGCAGCAGTCGCCGCGCAGCCGCTTCCTGCGTCATAATCCACTGCAGCAGATCCTTCCTGCTGAGCGCTAGCAGCACCTGCAGCATCAGCTCCTTGGCGCCAGCTGCAGCTGCCGTCTGCTGCCGCGTAGCCAGAAGCAAATGCGTAATATCGGCTCCAAAGCCCTTGAGTAGCCGGCGCAGTCGACTTGAGGCGACTTCGGGAAGGCCTCCTCCTCCCTCTGCTGCTCGTCTCGCTTCTGGAGATTCCCTCGAAGAAAGGTTCTTAAAGAGCGTCGCTGCGCTTCTAACGACCGCGAGAATCACAAAGGAACACGTGTCTCCATCCGGCAGTTCAAAAGTGCCGCTGCTTCTGCTGCTGCGTTGGTGTTGCTGTTGTTGCTGCTGCAGTCTTCTCAGCACCGCTTCGTTGCGCTGCTGCTGTTGGCGGAGGCCTTCCTCGTTGTCTTGGTGCTGCTTGGCGTGCTTGAACTTGCTGCGCTCCCCTGCAGCTCTTGCTGCTGCAACTGCCATTGCGCCTGCCGCATTGGCCTCATCCTGCTTTGGGAAAAGCTGCATCACGGCTGCATGAAGCGCTTCCAGGAGCAGCTGCGCTCCTCGAAGACTCCTCAGCGCTTCTTGAGCCTGCTGAAGCCGTGCCTCCGCTTCTTTCTTGCACTTCGCTAGGGGATCTATCCCGATGGCACTGCAGATGGCTAGGAAGCGTTCCTGCGTCAGAAGCCTCCGTTTTGGATCTTGCTGCTGCCTCCGCTGGTGCAGCGTGGAGGTGGCTGCTTCCTCTTCGCTCTCTGCCGCCGAGGATGCCTCCTCACTGCCACTCATGTCTGCGTCCTCCTCCCCGTCGCCAGACCCTGCGGCAGACAGCACGAAGTCCAAAAAATCTGGATGCTTGTGCTTCAGTTGCGCGCCAAGGGCCTCCTGGAAGCCATCGGAGTGGTCCCCAAGCAGCTCCTCCTGACCAGGGGGCCCCTCCAACTCTTCATCGTACGTGCCTCCCTCCTCACTCTCGGCTTCGCTATCGCTGCTGCAGCGCAGCTCCGCGCTGCTGTCGGCTGAAGACACGTCTGAATCACTGCTGCCTTCGGCAGTGGCAGCAGCAGCAGTGGCTGCTGCTGCTGCGGCCCCTTCCGTGTCGGAAGCAGAGGAGAGTTCCTCCTCGACGCTTCTACTCCTGCTGCTGTGCTCCGGCGCGCGCTGGTTCTCCTGTTTCTCCCCATGCTGCCGTACGGAGAGCCTCTCACGGCCACTTTCTGTGCTCTTCGCACGCTCAAGGGGCCTCCTGCCGGGAGACTCGGCTTTGCGGCGCTTGCAGCTCGTCGCCTTAAGGGCCGCCTTGAGGGCCCCGCGCATCCTGCTGAGGCTGCTGAGGCTGCTGCTGTGACTTGCAATGCCGCAACTGCCGCTGCAAAAGCAATCGGTGGGAGAAGATGCCCGCAGCGAACCGCAGAGGGCCTCCTCCGCCTGCCGAACGCTTGCTTCTACCACCACCCCACAGGAGAAGGAGCCTTCTTTGAGAGCCGACACTTCTCGGCGAAATCTGCCAGTGTAAAAGGGCTTCTTCCTGCCTCTAACCAGAAACAGTCGATATATATTGCTGCCACATGCGGAGGCTTCTGCAGCGGCTTTTGCTGCTCGCAGCCGCAAGTCTCGCAAGAGAACGGTGCTCGAGGGCCCCCCCGGCCCGGCTTGGCTCTCCCCTGCCGCTCCTTTCGCAAAACCCCACGCTCATTGAATGGTCAATTGACTAAAAATATTGCCGAAATATCTTTTTGCGTCCTTACACGATGCGCGAAATCGGCTAAATTTATTTTGAAACCCGAGAAATGTGATGACGAAAGAGTCTCGGGATGCTTCCGGAAAGAGGGAGGGAGCTACAGGCAATCCCCTCCCTCGGGAAGCAGGAGGTCTCTGTGCCCAGTAAGTTGGTACTGTTGAGGCCTTCCATACACAAAGAGCTCCTCAAGCCGGGGTGATTGAGTGTGACAAGGGCCAAACTCGGCAGGTTTCGATATCCCGTGCTGCCGTGTATTTTTTCTGTGCTTCGACTGCCTCAGTTAGAGGCCAGCATACTCCTACAAGGGGGAACCAACAAGGGGCCTCGAGAAACTGCTCTTTCCCTTTCAGAGCAGTGCTCTTGCGAAACGCTTTCTAAGTGGTAGCTGTCGCCGTATTGAAACCCTCCTTCGAGGTCCTGGCTACTGATTTGCTACTTAACTACAAAGCCGAGCCGCCGTTGAGGACGCGAGTTGCTGCGACGCCTGAGTGGTGCATCTTCTGCCCCTCGTTCTGCTGCTTCTAGTGTTGCTGCAGCGGCTGGAACGCGGAAATGCCAGTGCATGTGTGTGTGTATGTGCATGCGTGTGCGTACACGTGCACACTCCAACGAGGTTTCATGGTATTCCTTCATAAACCTCCTGGTGGCTAGTTGCAGCCTACTCCCTTCTCGCATAGAGCACCACGCAGCACACACACACAAATGCGGCACCATAAACTTAAGAACTGGGCAAAGCGGCAGCACTGAGTTGCGCGACTGCTTCTCGCCGTGACGTCCAACGCATGCTCCCAGTAATGAGAAACGACCAATGAGTCCTGCTTGTCGCTGAATAACCATGAAGAGGACAGACTCAATGGAACGCAACAGCTCCTGAGAGGGCTCTTTGTGAGGGAGAACAAAGTATGTGCATCTCCCAGTCCTTGCCTTCCTTTTTCTGTCTGATGCACGGCGCCTCTCCCAGTTTGGTAGTTGCTAGCCACGGACTTCTCTTCCTGCTCGTGTTTACTACCCGTGCCTCCGTGCTCGAATGATATGTTCTAACGTTTTGTGCTATGCGCCCCGGTCCCTTCCACTCCCGCGGAGACCCCAAAGGAGCATAGAACTTTCGAGGAGTGGGTTCCGTCTGCTGCTCGTCAACCTGATTTAGAATCTTTTCACCTCCTTCCGCAAAGAAACCGCGCCTCGCGTCATCGGCTCCAGAGGGATCGAAAATAAGGACTTCAGTGGTAAACACAAGGAAAGAGCTCAGATTCCTGCAATGATGTTCAGGACGATGCAGCGGCCGTCACCAGGGCGCATCTTGTGGAAATAAGAAGAGGAAGAGTGCTTGTCACCCTTTGTTTGTTCTTCAACTTGTAACGGCTTTATTACTAGCATCCAGATATATGAGTAAAAAAACCATTCGCCTCCATCTGGGAGAAATGCGGCAAGCAAACGGGGAGCCATGAGGCCACTTTGTGGTGCACATGATCCAACTCGGTTTTCTTGTGTAAATTTGCTTGTAAACCGCAAGGACCCACAGAAGCTGTGTACGCGCAATGTATATGTGTGTGCATTCCGCATGCGTCGTGTATTTCTTGGAGGTATCACGAGTGAATTCAGGTGCATACAAATATTATGGCTAGAAAGGAGCAGAATGGGGTTTTTCGCTTGCTATGGATGGCATTGCAAGCAGGATCATACCAGTGTAGTCAAACAATACCTACACTAATGAAGCATAGCCCTCTGGCATCAAACTTCTAAAGTTCTACGTACACGCATATCTCTGTGCTTTCTTAAAGTTGTACAACAGTAATGCTTGCGTGTAGAAGGCATGTGCTAAAGACGTTTGCATGTGCTGAACCCTGACGCAGTTAAAACCTGCAAAGGCAGCGTACTATCCGCACGCGAAAGCAATCTGAGCCTTCAAGGAGTGTAACACTGCAGTAGTAGCACTCACATGCTTGCGTCAGACGCTTTCCACTCTCAACTGCAGAAATCCTATGTGTCCTACACATGCATAGCCCCCTGTCTGCAAACTATCCAGCATCCAGTTCAACATCTCAGGCCAAGACAGCTAAGCATTTATGCTCTTGAAGGCTGCACACAGCATATACTCGTCAAAGCTTTTGTTCGGGGCTAGTACCTCTCATGTAATATGCACAAGGGTTACGCCAAGGATGACTTTTAACAAAACGTGCAAGTACCACCGCTACACAATGGAGTATACATCACTAAAATATGCGCCCACCAGACACAACCCCTTTGGCTTGCAGGCACACATAAATCACTGGTGCGTCAGATGGATGCTTTCAATACTTCCGGAAACTGTATTATCACCGCAAAGGCACCAAACGCAATAGATGACGGAAAATTAGATGCAGGGTTACGGATTTTTCTTTCAAATCATACCGGCGTAACGTACGCGCACTTTCTATCGCAGGCAATGCAATACAAGATAGTCACCCATAGTCCCTTTGTGAAGCGCTCATTAAAAAAATATCTCTGTGCACTCTACAGCAGCAAGATAGCTACATCAAACTATACACTGAAGACAAGTAACTTTTATCTTCTATACAGATGGGGCGTGCTCTTGCATGTACGCACCATGTGCATGGTTTGGAACATAGCCGTCCCAGCAGCTTCTGCATTATTGTCAAGTGGGTCTACAAGCTAGTAGCAGCTGCGCTGCAAAGTCACAACTTGCACTGTCTGCATGTAAAATTACGACTATAAAAGGGGATACAAACGAGTATAAATTAGGGAACAGAGCCGACTTTGACGGCTGAATGGCCAAATTGTTCGGCCGCCCTAGTACGATAACTTTAGATGGGTCCTAATGCCCCAAGTCATTAAGTAAGTTCAGGTAAGTCGTGCTGCTATTCTCTCTGTACGAAATCAGATGTAAGCTTCAGTCCCCCTGCATGATTACCCTTGTACTGGGTGGCTCGAGGGTTCATGCTTCCACAACAGCCACCCACTGCTTCCAAAGAACTAGCACTAGAAAACACAATCACGGTAAGTCAGGCTTTTGTCCAAAATCTGCACCTCAGAGAGATGTCGTGATGGTGTTTGGTGTGACGAATGTGGGGAAAGCACGGGAACGAGCTCATTTTGTTCCTTCGGCCTTTCGAGGCAGTCTTTAGTTAGCCACCTGCTTGGCAGCACTGTCTTGGAAAATCCTGTTGAAATATGCTAGCACGCGTCTCCTTATTAGCTCTGTTGCTAAAGCCGTATGGGAGAGACCCAAAAAAGTGCCAACACGGCTCAACAGTTCATGCGCTTTCAAGCGAGCGAGGGAACTGTACAAAGGAAAGAAGCCACGGCTTGCTAGTCAGCAGAAGCTTTTAGCAAGAGCAGAGTCCCTTTTAAACTTCAGTACAACATATGCAGTAAAGAGAAATTGACTAGCTATTCATCTAAATCTTCCCGAAAACTACGCCAAAATGGATTGAATACGACAGAAGACTACGCAGATGCCAGACCTCTGATGCTACCCTTTCTAAGCCAAGGGAACTAGTGGGACGTATTCAGCCCCCGAATACACCTCTAGTGAGAGCAAACCGCAGATGACAGCCCCCATTTAGTGCCTGACCCCCGCGTTCCCCCTGTGCTTGCATCCTCCGAGTAGAGGAACACAGGGGCAGTGCTCACGAGGCATTGGGCATTGAAGCACATTTAGAGTCTTGAACTACGTGCGACTAAACTGCGGTCCATTAATCTTTGATATACACGGGGATAATGAGGTACTATACGGGCCTAACACAAATGCCTCCCGTGCCCCGCTGCAACGAGTCTCTTTTCCAGGCTGAGGCATACCAGCAGCTTGGCTTGGAAGCCCCTATAGGCGCCTTACTCGCATCCCACGTAATGAAGAAATGTATGCCTAAGAAGAGCCTTTGTCGGTCCAGCTGGTACCAAAGCAGTGAGCATCAAACGCAGGGACTTGCACTCTGCAGCAATAATCCTTGCTGTAGATGCTTCGAACACCCCAATGAGTACGAGAGGCTTACTAGGTGGTACGTAGAGGCAATGCTCTCCCTGCCATTTTAACTGGACGGCCTTTTATGCGAAACCTACATAAAGGCGACAAAGCATCTTCGGCCTACACTTTTAGCCAAAGATCTTTGCTCTGAAGATGTAATTTCTAGTTCCTCTTAATACTACCACAATCGATATGGTTGAATCGCTTAATAAAGCCCCCGCAAGACCTTGCTCTTGCCAGCAGTAAGATCGACGAGGCGACAACAGAAAGCAGTTCATGTTAAGCGTCATTAGCGTTGCTCAATCCCAGTCTTAGAGCCCGCAAACGGTGATGCTTTGACGGGCCGCCTCCAAAGCCAGCAGGAGTCGCCAGCAATTTGAACTGAGGCAGTATTGATAGGAGTACACGACTCCTTGACTCGTCACCTTACATGGACCTGAAAACCTTCCAGTGAATTGTCCCCAATCTGAGATCGTACTAGTCTTCTCATCTAGCGTGAGATTGACTACTGAAGAGCGGCAGCCTAGATGCCGCCGAGCGTGGGGTTAGTGGCCACTTGGCGTGTAATTTGGAAGCGCTTCCATAAGAATTTTCTTTCTCCTTTGGCTAAAAGGCAATTGAACTTCTGCTGGTAATGCTTTTGATGCTTGGAAGCGCTCGCTCATCAAGTGATTTGCTTTTTACTGATGGGCGAGCAAGTGAAAAGCTGCATTCGCAGCGTTGCATTTACCTTTCTTCTAATCCCAGTCACTTTCCTCCCTAGCTTTACCGCGTGTTTCTTTCTTGAAAGTCTTCGCGCTACCGCATCGAAGCTAACTCTTGTCTGAGCATCAGCCTACCTAGGTCTATACTAGTGAGCAAATCAATGGGTAGAACAACCCGAGTCCCTAACGCAATTAAGAGCACCTACCCCCTCGTGAGACGAGTTTCTAAAAGCAGTGTGTCAAGTGTAAAGCGGTACCATGTTTTTGTTCAGAGAGGAGACTTGCAGCTTGTAGATTCACGAAGGACAAACGCCTTCGGCCATGAACCACCAGGCGCCAACAAGTGCTATCGTGTGTTTCCTCCGCTCTGCGAACCCTGTGGCTGGCTGTACATATGTGCAGCTAGCCTCATGTGACCTCAGAAGCTATGAGAATTGAGTGCATCTGGTTCATTGTTTGGCAAAACAGTTTCATCGTGACAATCCAGGGAGGCAGTCATCTACCCACGGCCCCCGGAGCCGCCACGGGGTCCTTTAATCGCGGACGGGTCATATATTTTCACCCATCTACCCTCAGAAAAAAAGATAACCAGGCTTTTTGAGAACACAGACTAGCACTGTGTTCAGGTTTGCAGGGTTTCTGGAGCTGCAAGTTTTTCTACAGAGACCGACCGTACGAGGCCCGTTGCAGCGACTGCATGCTTGTAGCATATCCCACAACATGACTCACCCGTAACACGGATCTTACTTGCGTAGCTTTGCCTGAGGTGGTACGAAGAGCTGGGCTGCAGGCTTTATCACCTGCATAGCACTTGGGGGGCATTCGGCCTCAATTTTCACACTGAACTCGTTAGCGCATGCTAACACCGCGCATGCTAACACCGCGCATGCTTGAGCAGCGGGCCGAACAATTTTTCGCGGCAGTTATAAGATAATGGCAGCCAACCGCGGCATTACTTGCCTGCTTTAATGTCAATATAATATGACTGGTGGAACGATGGCTATGTCCTCGCAGCTTCTTCGCCTAATGCAGCCAGTGCAGGATTAGCAAACATGCCATTGCAATTTGGTTTTAGACTGTCTGTTGAGTCTGCATTTCTTACGTTCTAGTTGTCGTAGGAAAGGCTCTGGACATGGTCTTAAGTTACATGCTGTGCGCTTGTGCCTAAATTACTGGTGCGTACCTGTTCATGACTAATGTACCCAAGCTCGCTCACACAGTTCGACAGCCTGCAACCTTGCTTCCTAAAACAAAACCCTGTGGCTTGATAGCAACCCTAAAAAACTGTTCTAGACACAAACAAAATTAAACCTGTTTTCCCGTTCGATCGTGTTTTCATCGCGGGCCCGACTCGCAAAGGGACTGGGGAGGCGTTACGATACTTTGCCTCTAATGTGGCTGCCTGGATGGCTGCCCTCCTAATTTAACGTCTTAGTCCCTCTCTGTTTCGCGCTAGAGTAGCAAAAATGGTGGGCTGCACTAATCGAAATGATTGTGAAAGCCTGGAAGAGAGATAAGGTACGCACCAGCCCCCTTTTGTTCCTAGTATTGCTGCTGCGCATGTAAAGTGTCACCGGTGCACTTGAATTATCTGCCACGTTCTAAGTTTTGTGGAGCGTTTGCCTAGCCTTGCAAATATATTCAAACGTGAAAGCGTGCGTTTTAGGGTGGGAAGGACTGTGCATCGCGCCAGGCAATTGGTGGAGTCGCAGGTCTGCTGCTGCTGCTGATACTGCTGCTTCCGCGTGCCCCAGGTGTCGTTCCACTGGGCTGCAGTGAGCAGTTGGCCGTCCCTCTTGTCTGCGCATCTCCTCTCCGTCTGGAGTGCATTTCTTTCATTCTGTAATAATTTGCAAATGGACTCTTTCAAGCGGAGACAAGAGAGCCTCCAGGGGGCGTTTGGTGCTTCCTCTAGCGCCAGCAATGGCTTCCTGCTTTCGCAGCAGCAGAGCGCCCCAGCTTTAGGGGCCCCTAAGCGACTCCGTGTGGCTGGGGGCTCTACGGCTGCAGAGGATGAGGGTGGAGGTGTCTCCCAGGAGGGAACTGCCTCGAAGGCCGCCTTGCCGGTGTGTCTACTGGTATCCGAAAATATCGCTGGCGCTCTAATTGGGAAGGGGGGATGCACCGTGAGGGAGTTCGAGCGGCTTACCGGTGCGCGCATTTTTGTGCAGCGGAATGCCATGGCCCCCCATGAGTTGGCGGCAGCGAAGCAAGCGGTGCTGGAGACAGCGGGGGCCCCCTCGCAGAGCCAGTCCCTCGACGTGACCAAGATAGTTGCGATTGGGGGGAGCAAGGATGAAGAGGTCTATGGGGGCCTGATGCGCGTCTTGGGGTTGATTTCTTCGCATCCTGCGCACATCGGGAGGTCCACAGCAGTGCTGCTGGTCCCTCAGAGAAGCGTAGGCGGCATTGTTGGGCAGCGCGGTAGGACCATAGAGGAGCTGAGTCAAAAGTCGCAGGCGCACATCCGTGTCGTTCCTGGTGTTGCCTCTCCCAACGGAGATAGAGCTGTGTGTTTCACGGCTCAGCACGATGATCACGTGGCGCTGGCCATTCAGCTGATGCAGCTGCAGCTGCAGCAAATGGTGGTCACAGGCAGGCTCATGCCCTCGGAGTTCGATTATCTCGTGAGTCTGGCCTCGGTACCGCAGCCGAAGGCGCTTCGGAGTGCCAAGACACCGCCAACGCCGCTGGGCCCCCCCCTTCCTGGGGTTGTGTCCATGGGGCCCATGGCGACCGCTCCGGTGGGAGCTGGCGGATATTACGGAGCTAACGGCACGTGGGGAGCGCCCCCCTCAGGGCCCCCCCCCGTACAAGGCTCCACTCCTCAAGGATCGGTTCCGGGAGGCTCCTTAGGGGGTTCTGGTGTGAGCGGCAGCAGGTTTGTCATGAGTGCTGAGGCTTGTGGCGGGGTTGGCTGCAATTCTGTGCTGTGCTTCGTGATACCGCAGCGGCTGGCGGCGTGGGTAGTAGGGCCCCAGGGAACCCACGTAAGGGCAGTGCGGGAGGAGACAGGCGTGCAGTTGCAGATACTTGATGAAGTCTCGGGCTTTACTGGAGAGGATGCGCGGCGGATGGGGAGAGGGGCAGGGGGGCCCTTCGCAGGAGGAGGCCCTGGAGGGCCCCAGGCGGACGGCGCTGAGAGCAGCACTGAGAGGTTTTGTATGGTCTCGGGAGGCGTGCAGTCGTTGTGTGGAGCGATTTTGAGGCTTGGCGTCCCTTTGCAGGAGAAGCTGCAGCAGGTGCATCAGCCGTTGCGGCTCCTGATCCCCTTCAGGTTTGTTAGTGCGCTGATTGGCAGTAAGGGCGCCTTCATTAGAGACATGCAGCACAAGTCGGGCGCCACCATTCAAATATCGAAGGGATCGGGGGCCCCCGAGGCGGGCTCTGCAGGGCCCCAGGGTTCGTGGGGAGGGGCCCCAAGGGACCAGCACAGGATTGTTACGATCGAGGGGCCTTTGTGCGCGAGACTGATTGCACTTGCTCTTGTGTGGCAGCGCATCTTGGGAGTGGAGTATCCCGATCTTTCGAGAAGCGGTGCACCCTTCATGTGTGTTTCTTCGCTCCTAGAGGACCTGCAGCAGCAGGGTCATGATGTGTCGATGGCACAGCTGCCTCCCTCATCCGCGGGGGCCCCAAGGATGCCGCCGCCTCCGCAGCAGCAGCAGCAGCCGCCGTTTCCGGGGGCTGAAGGGGCCCAGTACTATGATGGTGCTGCGGCAGCTGCGGCAGCTGGTGCTTGGGGGGCCCCTCAGTCTGATCCAATGGCTGGAGTGGGGGGGGGCCCCGCGCCGTCGTGGGGCAGCGAGGATCCAGCGGCGGCAGCTGGTTGGAATGCGCCTCCCGCGCAGTCTGTGGCACCGACGTATGAGCAGATGGAGGGGTGTTTCAAGGGTTTTTGTTCTCGCTTCCTTTCTGCCCAGGAGATGGCAATGTGTGGGGAGAGACAGACGGTCCAGCTGCTGCTCTCGCAGGCTCAGGGAGAGGTATTGTTACGGCGTGACTCAGCGAATGCACGATACGGCAATGCCGTCCCGAACGCTCCCCCCCCAAATGCGTTGGATCAGATAAGCGAGATGACTGGGTGCCATGTGCGCTGCTTTGTTACGCATGAGCCAATCATTCAGGGGGCCCAAGGGGGGCCTCCCCAGCAACAAATGGTGTTGATCTTCACAGGGGCTCCCGTGGCAAACAGCCTCGCCGTCATGCTGGCGCAGGCGAGGCTGTCGCAGGTGGTGGCTTGAGCGAGAGAAAGGGAAATATGAGAGGGTGCACACCGTTCTGGCTGTTGGGCACAGGGCCTCATCGCTGTCTGTTCATCGTCTTTCTCGGATATGCATATATAGTTCTAAGCGAGACATTGAGGGTGGATTGAGAGGGCACGAGAGCGGAGAACGGGAGTGGGCGGTCAAGAGGCTCGCGTTAATAGCGTTTTGGGCTTGGAGTGACAGGGAGCGAGGTAGGCGCAATTGTATTTGCTTTTTTGTATATTCACAACCGCGTTGGGGTTTCTTTCAGTGCGTGCGGCGGAGGAGCAGCGGCTGTGGGGAAAGAGACGAGAGGGTCGCGAGTACGCCTGTCGCTTCTGAGATGATTACGTTTAGGTTAAGGGGAGGAAGAGAGGAAAAGCGGTGCGAGAGGATGGTCCGATGTTCAGCTTTCAGTATGCGTTGCAGAAGGAGACACCTGAACTGCCGGTTGCTGGCTTTGTTGGTTTTGCTTCTGTTTTGGTGTTGTTTTTGTCTGAGGCAGCCACTCTGAGCTCACCGAGACTTCCTTCCTTATTGGGGCAAGGGAAGAGAGGGACCCTCGTATTGGCGCTGGGAACTGCAACTCTTAACGGTTGGGCTGTTGTTTCTGCTTGGCCTCAGGTTTGGAGTTTTGAGGGGTGGATGGAGAATTTAGGGTAGCTCTGAGGCCGTTGGAGGCAATAGAGAGAGGGTTCTTTGAGATAGGCTGAGACGAAGAGGCTCACGCGTGTTTGCAAAAGTGTGTTTCGTCTTGCACTGCATTGCTGTATACGATCCTGTGGTTTTGGCTGTCAGTGTTTTCATTAGCTAAAAGAAGGATAAGAGGCAACGGGGGAGAGGCACTATGCTGTTGCGTCAAGGCAGAGAGGGGCGCGCGGAAAACGGTTAGAGGAGAGGAGAGAAGGGTGGGACACAGTTGTGAATAAGGGAGAAAAGGTCCAAGGCATAGAGTGGTGAAAACCGAAGGATTGAAGGAGAAAATGAGGGCAGGGGTGTATGGGCGGACGCAGCCTTGTACATGTATGTATACACGGAAAGGCTGAATGAGAGGTAGAGAGAGAGAG